TATCCAGAACTCAGCTGCCCGCCTCCTCACCCACACACGCTCCCATCAACACATCACCCCCGTCCTCCAAAACCTTCACTGGCTCCCCATACCCCATCGCATTCAATACAAAATCCTCCTCCTCACCCACAAAGCACTCCACAACCTCGCCCCCCCCTACCTACAGGATCTTCTCCACCCCTACATCCCCTCCCGCACCCTCCGCTCCGCCAATGCCAACCTCCTCACAGTTCCCCTGACCAAGCACCGAACCTGGGGGGACAGAGCCTTCTCAGTCGCCGCCCCCACCCTCTGGAACTCACTCCCACTCGAACTCAGAAACTGCACCGACCTCACCAGATTCAAGACCCTTCTCAAAACACACCTCTTCCGCACTGCCTTTCATCCTTCCTAGCCCCCCCCCCCCCCCCCCCATTGGATTTTACCTGATTCTACATGTTTTTACAGACATTGTCGTAAATTTTTATTACTTATTGATGCGTGTTTTATTGTTATTTGGATTTTACCCGATTCTACATGTTTTTATTATATTGCCGTAAATTTTATTACTTATTGATGTGTTTTTATTGCTTAACCCTGTACAGCGTCTTTGTGTTTTTTGAAAAGCGCTCTACAAATAAAATGTATTATTATTATTATTATTATTGCTCCAGTTAATTTCTCCCAATTGTACAGACCAGTTAGTTTGACCTCTAGGCAGTGTCTTTGGTTGTAGGCAGCTTCTCAACAGTCTATTCGAGCAGGGTCTTTTTGTAATGTCTATTCCGCCCACAAATATATCACAGGTGTAATTTCCTGGAGTAGCAGCCGTTCTTTCAGACCCTTTAAGAAGTTGTAGCACCCCCTGAGGTAATGCATCAAAAAACACTGCATATTGTTTTGGGGTGACTAGGAGTTGAAATTTTAACATAAATTCTTCATAAGAAAGTAAAAAGCCATGGTCGTTAAGAAGTTGGTCGACTAGTAAAATGTTGTGCCTCATCCAGTCCTTGTAAAACAGTGATCGGTTTTTGTAAACGATGTCTTCATTGTTCCAATATAATAGCTGGTTGGTGAGAAATTATGTTTGTAGATCAGTTTCCAGGACAGCAAGGCTTGTTTGTGAAAGTTAGAGAGTTTAACAGGAAGCTTCTCAATTTTGTAATTACATTTCAACATAAAGCGTATACCACCAAGTGAGTTGAATACATGTGTAGCAAAGGAGTTCCAGAGGTTGTTCTTCTCTCTACATAACTTACTCAGCCAGTTGATCTTGAAAGAGTGATTCAGTATTTCGAAGGTTAGCACATCCAAACCACCATCCCTCTTGGTATTACATAAGATAACTTTTTTTAAATAATGGTGTCTGTTCTCCCAGATAAACTTGAATAAGATTTGATTTAATTTCTTGGAGACTACAGCAGGCATTTCTAGTGCTAGTGATAGATATACAGATCTTGATATTCCTTCAGCTTTGGATAACAGAATCCGTCCGTGTAAAGATAGATCCCTCATTAACCACATATTGAATTTTCTTTGTATCGGTTGAGTTATTGGTTCAAAGTTTAACTCAGAGTGCCTCTTCTCATTTTTGTCAAGTACAACACCCAAATATGTCACAGTTTGTTTAATGGGAATACCATTTAATTCTGCCAGATCACAGTGTTTGAGGGGAAAAAGCATAGATTTATTATGGTTCATTGTCAGCCCAGAAACCTCCGAAAACTCTCTGATACACTGCACAGCTTTGACAAGTTCATTTTGGTTGGACAAAAAAATAGCTGTATCATCCGCTAACTGAGCTAGTTTGAATTCTCTACCTACGGCTGTCATACCCTGAAAGTTGCTTTTTTTAATATGTGTTGCCATAACCTGTGTAACCAGCAAAAACAAAAAGGGGCTTAGGGGACAACCTTGTCTGATTCCACGACCAATATTAAATCTGGGTGTTGTGCCATTTGTTATCTTAATTGAACTGTTACTTCCTTTATAAAGTGTTTGAACTGCCCTCAAAAACCTATTTCCAAAACCAAAACATCGAATAACTTTAAACATAAACTGGTGATTGACTGTATCAAATGCTTTATAGAAGTCCACAAACAGAATAAAACTTTCATCAGGTATAAATTCATTATAGTCTATCATATCCAGAATCAGACGAATATTATTTACAATATTTCTCCCTGGCATAAACCCAGATTGCTCCTCATCTATAATATCATCTAATCCTATTTTCAATCTTTTAGCAAAGATGAGAGCAAACAGCTTTGCATCATTATTCAATAAGCTAATCGGTCTTCAGTTTTCAATGTTTAATTCATCTTTTTTTGGTTTTGGAATTAGTTTTATCAGTCCCTGTCTTAAAGTGTGGGGGAGTTCTTCCTTGTCTAAAGCCTCTTCAAATAGCTCAATTAAAAATGGAGCGATTGCTTGTTTAAAGTATTTATAAAATTCCCCTTTTATCCCGTCATTACCTGGGGCTTTGTTGTCCTTGAGGGAGTCGATGCATTTTTGTACCTCTGTTATCGTTATTTTTTGATCACACGTTACATGGAGGTCATCATCTATTCTTCTAATATTTGGTTGTATGGTCTGAAGAAATAGTGATATTTTATCTTCATTTAACAGGTCAGTCATATACAGCTTTTCATAAAAGCGTGCAACATATTGCGAAATTTGTTTTCCATTTTCACACACAGCGTCATGAATTTTAAGTTTGCAGAGAGAAGACATTTCGTAATTCCTTTTTTCTAGATTAAAGAAATATTTGGTGCATTTTTCCCCTTGTTCAAGCCATTTCCTCCTGGATCTGATGAAGGCTCCTCTAGCTTTCCCCTCGTAAAATTTGTCTAATTCAGTTTGTAGGTAAGCCAATTGTTCTACCTCAGCACTGGTTGGGTCTGTTTTCTCAGATAATGGAATAATTTGGGTGACAAGTTGAAGTTCTTTTTCTTTATTATGTCTGCTGATTTTTCTACTTAACCTTATAGCTAACTTTCTTATTTCATTAATTCCCAGTATAATCCAAAATTCTTTAGTAAATTTGCTTGTCTCCAACATTTGTCGATGATTATTTGGCTTTCCTTTACAAATTCCTTATTTTGTAGCAACGTTTTGTTTAATTTCCAATAATCTCTATTGACCCTCTGCCTGTCAGATCCAAGATGGAATTGAATTGATATAGCTTTGTGGTCTGTCAATATTGTGGGTTCTATTTTGATTGAGTCTACCTTATTTTCTAATTCAGCCGAAATTAACCAAAAATCTAAGCGAGATTGGCGGGATCTGTCCTTATTGCTCCATGTGAATACTTTTTCCTGTGGGTGTCTGTGTCTCCATATATCAATCAGGTTCATCCTGTCGCAGATATTTTCCAATTCGGTTATCTGTTTGGCTTTTGGAGGCCATCTGTCCAGACTACCATCAAATACTGTGTTGAAGTCTCCACCCCATAAGATCTCTGCTGAGGGAAACAGTGTCAGCCAATGATTAATCTTATTTTCTAATGTTGAGAAAATTATGTTATTGAGGGATTTACTGTTTGACCCATATACATTAATCAGAATAACAGACGATTGGTTGATATCTGCCAAGAGAATGATCCACCTGCCATCCTTATCAGCGTCATGCTTTATAATTTTCCCACCATATTTCCCCTGTAGGATGGCGACCCCTGCTGAGCGATTGCTGCCATGAGAGAGCCATACATTCCTTCCCCATTGACTTCTCCAATATGAGACATCAGTTTCAGAAGAGTGGGTCTCTTGAATGAAATAAAAATCTGCACCTTTATTCTGAAGAAATAAGAACAAGCTTTTCCTTTTCACTTCATTCTTAATACCTCTGACATTAACAGAAAAAATAGAAGTCGTCGCACACATATACACACACACACACACACACACACACACACAAGCACCCGCTCAAAAAACCTCACTGGGTTGAGAGCAGACACTGAGGGTTGGCTACTGCAAGCAGACCAGACCACTTCCAAACTTAACTGAGATAGTTTAGTTTACCTCTCTTCATTAGTGCTTCATCACTCTATAAAGGATATAAAGGAGAGAAAAGAAAAAGAGAAAAAAAAAAGAAAAAAGAAACAAAAAAGGAAAAAAGAGAGGGGCATTGCCTCGGAGGAGTGAAAAGTTCATACTTCGATTCATTATTTCAATTATTTTAGCACGAGAGCTGTAATATAGGGAAAAAATAAATAAATTGATAATAACTGAACTAATGTAGTGGCTGTTGTTGAGAAATAAACAAAGAAAAAATAATAGATTAAATTTCAAATTAACATTTTGTCAGCCATATCGTAGAAGAGGTTGGGAGCACCGAGTTTTCCATAAGCAAAGGTCACCTTTGTCAGAGACAACTCAAACAAAAGTCTCACGGATATATAACATTGCGTTTGTTCATTGCGTTTGTTCATCTTTTGGGTCCGCCATCTTGCACTGCAGTTGGGTCCCTCTCGTTGCAGGTGACAGGGAGACATCAGCAGAAACCAAGGATTTTTTCAAATCAAAGTTAAAAGTTCCTTATAGGAAGTTTAAACTAAAAAATTTTTACACTGTTTTAAAACAGTTAAAAATACAGATTTGATGTAATAAATCAGGGAAAAGTGTAAACAATACCATACAACATTTAAAATCTTGTTCATGTTATTACCAGTTTAGTTCCAGCAGTTTGATTCACTTTGATATTTACAACTTTCATCTCTTACTAAACTAATTTTCAGTGAGTTTAACTTTATTCAAACTAAATTCAATCAAACTTTTTTCATTATCATTATTATTTTAAAATAATTATTTAGATTCTTTTGAAAATGTATTTGAATGATATTTTCAATAACTGGCTTTTAAAGAAGAATCTTTCAGGTGAACAGAAAACTATAAATGAATCTGGTCATATTAATGAAATCATGGGATCAGCCTTTGCTCGTGGTACGATGAATGACGAATAAAAATTAGAGGATGCTGAAAAGACACCAGGGGGAATCTGCTGCCGTCGGACCGAGCGGAAGTGACATTTGTTATTCTGGGAGTGTGAGACGTTCAGGGTCCGATCGGTCCTTCAGTCGTGTCTGCATGTCTCCCCAGATTTTCTCCTTAAATCCTTTCCTACCGGACCCGGATGAAGGTAAACTCTCTCCCCTTTGCGCTCTCTTACCCCGGACACTCAGCCAAATTCATTTTGGGAAAAATTTGACACCTAAATCTACCTTAAGGATGATCCGGATCCCTTTAGCCCGCAGTCCTGCTCGATGAATCCGGGCAGAGCGCTTCCTGGAGCCGCGACAAAAACTAATCCAGCTCGGTGCTTTCAGCCCGGTGTGCACTTTGACCGGGTACATTTAGAGTCCACTTTGTTTTCTTCGTGTAATTAATAATTAAACAAGTAAATGACTCAAAAACTAAAAGGAGATCTAGGTCTGCAGCGGGTTTACCTGAGATTCAGGTGAGACAGCTGCGGAACTTCAGCTGAACGGGCCGATTAGAATGTCACACCGTGTCCCATTAACATCATAGCTATCACCCAAACAATGTAAATATTTACAAAGCAATAAGTAAAACTAACTGTTTATTAGGATACAGAGTCCCCAAGAAAAGCAGTTATCGTTGTTGTTATTATTATTATAGTTGTTTTTACTATTTTTACTATACATTTAAGTAAATAAAAGATTTTCCAATATTTAAATAGAGCAGTTATGAGTAGAATTTTAGAATTATACACTTCAGCGTTTGAAATGATCTATTCTTCGTTATTACATAACATGTCTCAAAATAAATCTTAATCGTATTCGTTTTTCCATAATAATATTTAAAAATGTGGATAAAATGTATCCATGTTTACATGATTTCACTCTATGCCCCAAACAACATGTTTAAATAGAATATTTATCATCTCTTATATATGGTACTATTTTCTTCCCTATATGATGAGCCATATTTAATTAAGATGATGTGTTGGATAATACAACATTAAGTTCTAATCCATAATTTGGTGTTGGTGTTAGAATTATTGAATGTGCCTTTTCTTTCTTAAGATTAACAGGTATGCCCAAAGAAAAATATGACCCTCCAGATCCTCGTCGATGTTATACCATCATGTCAGCTGAGGAAGCAGCCAGTGGGAAGAAGTCTCATTGGGCTGAACTAGAGATCTCAGGTGGGTTCACCCAAAAAGATTTTTTGTCATCCTGGATTAATTCATGAGTCCACTTAATCTCTTCCTTAAGATGAAACACACTGCAGACAAAAGCACTGTCAAACATCTCCTTCCTCTACAGTCATGGTGACAGTGTTTCATGGAGATCAGTGAGCTTCATAGTAGGATGGAGTGAAGGTCTCTGAATGTACCACATAAGGTTTTTGTAGGGAATTCAGTTCCTGGTCCTGACCAGTGATTCATAGATGGATGTGTTTGGGCTCAGCAGTTCAGCAAAGGTCCGCTTGAGCTACGACAATATGGAATTTTATGGCAAGACATCCTGTCACTATCTAGCCGCCTTGGCCATGCCTTCTGATGAAAACTCAGGTTTGAGTCATGAACAACATCTCAAGAAAGTCCTGACCAAAAGTGGCAGTTTGACATTTCTTTTTACCACCAGGGGGTGCTATGACTTTAATATCTTACAACTGATGAAGGTTCCCTTTCAGTCGATTCACTCGGTACAACACATATAGTATGGGATATCACACCCCCGCGTGGCCTGACTGACTTCACCTTTATTTACACCTTTAAGGCAGATGATCTGTGGTGACGTCTGGAAAGCTCCGCCTGCACATATGTATGTGTAACACCACAGTCATCCTTCAGTTCTTACGCTCTTCACCTCGCTGAGAACACCGCCACCGAGTCGGGCTAACTAGCTGCTGCTAGCTTAGCCTGGTCTTGTTTGTGGCTACTGCCTGATCGATTTTAGCTTAACTGCCCCTGTTGGTGTTAGCCTGCGGCTACCCGTGGAGCGCTAATTTCGTTCAGCTTCTGCATCTTGTAATGAGCGCTTAGTCCATGAAAGTGAAGGCGAAGTCTTCTGTTCGCCTCTGTCCTCAGGGGTGCGGCTTCTCCCTTCACGTGAAAGATCTCCATGAGGCTTGTTCCGTTTGCCTGGGGATTGTCCATGCCAGGAGGGCGTTGACTGAGCCCGAGTCGTGTGAGTCCTGTCACAGGCTTCGGAGCTCATCCCTGGGAAGGCGGGTCAAGTTTGTGGAGAAAATATTAGGAAAAAATGCTGTTGTGCTGCACGATCCCCTCCTCTCCGAGTCCAGGGACCCGGCTTTGTCCGAGTCCGGTGGTGAGGACTTTCTGGTCGAAGGCTCAGTTGGAAACTGGGCGGACCATGTGGAGTGTGCCGATGGGTCAGCTGGATTTGAGCCGGGCCCCTCCAAGGGCGCTGGCCAGCCACTATCTGGGCTAGCTTGTTACCAGGAGGACGATTACTTGCTTGACATCAGCCTGGACGGAGGATGAGCAGTTGTCTCCAGGTCAGTATGCCGCTGCTGCTGCGCCGGTTGAGCTGGATGACACATCCCTCCTCTCACTGTACTGCTGTGCAGCTGAGAAACTGGAAGTAGAATGGCCCTCTCCTCCACCGGCTCAAAAATCTTTGTGGTTCTCAGTTTTTTTTCTCCCACCTGAACCGACGACTGTTAAGAATAGTTGGCCCATGTTACCAGATTTTGCTCGTGGAACTAACCGCGACATGGAACAAGCCGCTGTCCACCCGCGCCACAGTGCCCGGTTGTGGACAGTTTCTGGATCTGGATGGAGCTGAAAAAGCTGGTTTGGTGAACCCTCCGCCTATGGAGGCGTCCCTGGCAGCCTATCTGGCCCCAGCCCAAAATTATGGTGTCAGTGACCCCATCACGCTCCCATCCAAGCACTGCAGGTTTTCAGCATCACAGCTGGATAAGATTTACAGGACACAGGCTAGTACAGCCCGTGCACTGAGCTCCGTCACCATGCTTCAGACATATCAGGCTATGTGTCTGGCAGAACTTGGCTCACGTATGCCTCCTGACAGTCCGCTTTCTCCTCTCCTCAATGAAGTTAGAGTCGCCACAGATTACATTCTCTATGTGTTCTGCTTTGCAGAGCTCTCTCGAGGTAGAGGCATGGCTTCTACGGTGGTGGCACAGAGGCACCTGTGGCTGACTCTCCGACATTCCGGAGAGGGACAGAGCGGTTTATCTTGACGAGCCTGTGTCGGCCAGCGGTTTGTTTGGACAGTCCCTCGATGCCATTCAGGCTAAGTTTGAGCTGAGGAAGAAACAAACCAAAGCTTTGAGAAGCATCCTCCCCAGGCGTGATGCGAGGCCCAAACAACAGGGTTGGCCGGTGAAGCGGCATGTACCCGGTCAGAACCCACGCCCCTCGGCTTGGAACAATGGTCCACCACCGGGCCTCCAGAGGGGATCAGCGCCCGGGAAAAAGACACAGCAGTCATCCTAGCTTCGGGATCGACTCGAGAGGGGCCCCAGCAGCACAGAGACACTGCAGCCCTTCAGTTTTTGCCGCCAAAGAAGCCGCGTTTAAAGTTTGTTCAGGGGTCCGGTCCCGAGAGGAGCTGTACTCCCTTAACACAGTCTCCCAAGCACAATCTTCCCTCACACACGCATGCCCCAATAATGGCGCCTGTTGTTCACTGTGTGAATGTTACAAATGTGCAATCGTCGAGTCAAATAAAGGTTTTGTTTTGTTCTCAAATCATCATAAATCAATTAAGTCTGGGTGTGAAAGTGTTGCTGTTCCCAGCCGGCACGCGAGAGGGCGACAACCCCTTCCCCACAGTGCTGGAGGTCAGTCGACTGACTGTTCATGTCCCTCGGTGGTGCGCATGCGCAGCCTCACCGTGGGTAGAGAGAACCGTTGCCATGGGCTACCGCTTACAGTTCAGGGCCCGGTCGCCTTGCTTCCTCTCTGTAATATACACAGTTGTAGCAGAGGAAGCAGCAGCAATGCTGAGGAAAGAAATAAACAACTTGTTGAACAAGAAAGCGATACGAGTTGTTCCCGCTTCGGAAACAAACAAAGGTTGGTACAGCCGCTATTTTGTTGTTCCGAAAAAAGGAGGAGGGCTCCGTCCTCTTCTAGACTTGCGAGTGTTAAACAAATACCTATGAACCTACAGGTTCAAGATCAGACCTGGGCATTTTACGGCCCGCGACCCGACTCTGACCGACCCGCGAAAGGTTGCTTGGAATTTAGAAAATAAAACCTACTTTTGAATTTTAATGCGTGGACTAAAACAATAGGATGTAAAAACTAATGCTTTTACTTTGAAGCCTGTTTATTTATGTACAGTGAACGTAGCCTACGACGTCGTATACGTAATCCGTAAAACAAGTCAATCAGTGCACATGATTAGCGGCCATTGTCACCCCTCAACGGTGTACGGGCATGTTAAAAAAAAGAAAGGTGGACGCTGAAGGCCGAAATTTCAAGAAGATTTGGAGCACTAAATATTTGTTTACTGAAGTCGGTGGTAAACCCGTCTGTTTAGTTTGTGGTGAGCAGATCGCTGTGTTCAAGGAGTACAATTTGAGTCGGCATTATGAGACAAAACATGCAGAGAAATACAGACACTTGGCGGAGGCTGAGAGAGCGCGAATTTCGGAAGACTTGCTAGCAAAGCTGGCAAAACAACAAGGCTATTATACCAAGCTACACACAGCCCGGGATGCAGCGACCAAGACCAGCTTTGTAATATCCCACAAAATCGCAAAAAACTGTAAGCCATTCTCGGATAGTGAGTTTGTGAAAGAGTGCTTGGTGGACTCTGCCACGCTAATATGCCCTGATAATAAAGAAGCATTTGAAAAAGTCCCGCTGTCCAGGCGAACCGTCACCAGAAGGGTAGAAGGCATCACGGAGGATCTCAAACTTCAGCTAAAAAGTGGAGTTTAAAGTTTTGAGTTTTTCTCTTTGGCTTTGGATGAGAGCTGTGATGTCCATGACACTGCCCAGTTACTGGTATTTCTCCGAGGAATAAGGCAGGACTTCAAGATTACGGAGGAGCTGGCAGCATTGAGGTCAATAAAAGGAACGACAACGGGGAGCGAGCTGTTCAAGGAGGTAGATGCATGCATGGTCAAGCTTGGACTAAAATGGGACAAACTGGAAGTCGTCACTACTGATGGTTGTCCGAATATGACGGGGGAAAATGTCGGACTTTTGAAACAGATCCAAGATAAAGTGACTGAACTCGGCTCAGAGCATAAGTTGGTGTTGATACATTGTATTATACATCAGCATGCGTTGTGCAGGTCTGTGCTAAAACTTAACCATGTTATTAATGTTGTAACCAAAACGGTTAACTTTATCAGGGCACGAGCATTAAATCACAGGCAGTTTGTTGCACTTTTAGAGGAGCATGAGAATGAACATGGTGACATCAGGTGGCACACAGCTGTCAGATGGCTCAGTCTGGGCAAAGTGCTAAAAAGATTTTGGGACCTGAAAACAGAGATTCAAGAGTTTTGTAAAAACATTGAGGATGAAATGCACCTGGTTTCCTCTCCCTTTACCTGCAGAGTAGATAATGCACCCAGTGACATTCAGCTAGAGCTCATTGACCTGCAGTCTGACACAGTACTGGCAGAGCACTTTAAGTCAGCATCACTGCTGGAGTTCTACTCCTCTCTCAAAGAGGAGAACTTTCCAAACATGAGGAGACATGCTCAGAAGATGTTGGTTCTGTTTGGATCTACCTACATATGTGAACAAACATTCTCAGTAATTAAGTTTACCAAATCCTCTCTTACTGATGATCATCTGTCAGCTGTACTTCGCATTTCCACCTCAGACATTCAGCCTGACTTTGATGCACTTGTCCAGCAAAGGCTAGATTTCTCTCACTGAACAAGAAAAGAATACTGAAATGTGTTCATTTTTACTTTTTGCCTGCACAGTTTTACAATCTGTGAAAAGAAAAAATGTGACATATCTTGTTAATGATATTTGGCATTGTGGTGTTTTAATAGAAAGAAGTGTTTTAAGGTTAATGTAATTTTAAAAAGAGTTACGAATGTTTCATGTTTACCATTGTTTTGAAAACTGCACTGAAGAAAATATTTTTTTTTTGTGGAAAAAAAAACCTCTCACTTTCTCATTACCTAATAATAATAATACAGACACTTACCAGCTAGTGTAAACAATGCCATTTACTGCTTTCAATTTATAATTAAAATTTATACGTAGAAAAGAGTTTAAACTTTTGGCCCGGCCCTCCACAATATTTTCTGCTTCTCATTTGGCCACTTGGGAAAAATAATTGCTCACCCTTGTTTAAGATGCTAACACTCAGACAGCTACTGGGCGCGATCAGACCGGGAGATTGGTTTACAACTATCGATCTGACAGATGCTTCCTTTTACCTAGCGATTCATCCGCACCACAGGCATTTTCTAAGGTTTGCATTCGAGGGGATAGCCTACGAATACCTGGTGCTGCTGTTCGGCTTATCACTCGCCCCCCGAACATTCACCAAATATGTCAAGGCGGCATTGGCTCCGCCACGGGAGAAAGGTGTTCGCATCTTAGCCTATCTGGATGATTGAGTGCTAATTGGGAGCTCCAGAGAGCGAGCAGTGGCTCAGCTGTCATTGACCCTATCGCTCATCCAAACACCGGGCCTTTCGGTAAATTTACAGAAAAGTTCACTGACTCCGAGTCAACAGGTATCATTTCTTGGGCTGGAAATATGCACCGTTTCAAGCCGAGCACGTCTGTCAGAACGCAGGGTGGCTGTGTTTCGCTGCTGCCTCGCACAATTTCTGTTGGGATGCAAACTGTGTTTCTGGAGGATTTTACAGCTGCCAGGCATGACGGCATCTATGATTGCTGTAGTGCCACTCGGACTGTTAAAAATGAGAGCATTTTAAGGCTGGACTCCGTCTCACCGGCCACGCAGCGTCACCTCCAGAGTAGGCTGACAATAACACCGTCTTGCATGTTGGCTCTTCTCCCGTGGAGAGAACCCGTTTTTTTCTACAACACAAGGTGGTGTCCACAGACGCATCCCTGAGGGGTCGGGGGGCTCTGTGGGAAGGCGCAGCAGTGGGAGGGGTTTGGACGCCAGCACAATGCAAGCTCCACATCAATTACCTGGAGCTATTAGTTACCCTTTTAGCTCTGAAGCACTTTCGTCCCGTTCTGTTAGGCCATCATGTTCTGATCAGGACGGACAACACAACCGTGGTTTCCTACATAAACAAGCAAGGAGGGACACGCTCTCTTCCCCTGTTTAAACTGTCTCACTATCTGTTGCTATGGTGCAGTGCTCATTTTCTGTCCCTCAGAGCCACACATATTCCGGGTCACTTAAACCTTGGGCCGGACCTTCTCTCCAGGGGGGGTCCTCTTGTGAGAGAGTGGAGATTGCACCCACTAGTGATGGCTCAGATATGGGACCACTTTGGCAGGGCAGAAGTAGATCTTTTTGCCTCCAGAGCAAATATTCCTTGCCCCCTGTTCTTTTCCATAACAGACTGCAATGCTCCCCTGGGAATGGATGCGCCAACTCATCCATGGCACAGCACGCTGCTATATGCATTTCCCCCAGTGGTTCTGGAGAAGGTGTGCCAGCAGGGGCTCTCCCTGATCCTGGTGGCTCCTCGCTGGCCGGTGAAGTCGTGGTACGCAGATATAATCAGTCTGCTGGCAGCAACCCTGGTAGCTCCCTTTTTGCAGGGACCTCCTCTTCCAGGCGTGAGGAGAGGTGATTCACCCATGCCCAGAACTGTGGCGACTACATGCTTACATGTTGAAAGGTCAAACTTAATAGCTCAGGGTCTGCCCCCAAATGTGGTGGCAACAATCCAGAGTGCAAGGGCATCATCTACTAGGGGTGTACATGCCTATAAATGGCAGGCGTTTGAGCAGTGGTGTCAGGACCAAAATGTACTCCCATTTCAGAGTTCTATTGTGGATGTTTTAACATTCCTTCAGGACCTGCTTGATAGGGGTCTCTCTTTCTCAACAATTAAGGTCTATTTGGCGGCTATGTCTGCATGCCATGTTGGCTTTGATGGTGTGACGCCAGGCGCTCACCCTCTTGCTATGTGCTTCCTAAAGGGAGTCTGCAGGCTAAGACCTGTTCTTAAACCCAGGGTTCCCTCATTGGATTTAGGGCTGGTGCTTGAGGCTCTTGGTGGACCCCCATTTGAGCCTATTGAGTCAGCAGACATAAAATTTCTTTCATACAAGACTGCACTGCTACTTGCTTTGACGTCTGCAAAGCGAGTGGGCGACCTTCATGCTTTGTCTGTGCATCCCTCTTGTACCCAGTTCACTCTGGATGGATCTAAGTTAACATTGTGCCCAAATGCGGTGTATTTGCCTAAGATTATCCCCACAGCCTATAGCTCTATGAGTTTTGAACTGCTGAGCTTCTGCCCCCCTCCATTTGCATCTGAGGAGCAGAGGAGGTTGCATTCCTTGTGCCCTGTGTGTGCACTACACACTTACGTGGACCGCACTCAGTGTGCGTTTATGTGACCAGTTGTTTGTCTGCTTTGCTAATCCAGCCAAGGGCAAGGCGCTGTCTAAGCAGCGACTTTCCCACTGGATTGTGGAGGCTATCTCCTAAGCAGAGAGGACATTCAACCTGGGGAATGGCGGCCTCTTGGGCCTTGTTTAAAGGGGTTTCTGTAAGCAATATCTGCACTGCAGCCAGTTGGTTACCACCACACACTTTTGTTCGGTTTTATCGTTTGGATGTGACAGCACCTTCAGTGGCTCACTCTGTCCTTTCTGCTGGGTCTACAATGCACTAAAAGTTTTGGAGGTTTGACTTCGGTTCGGTGGCTGCTCTGAGGGGCGTGTTTATATGTCCCATACTATATGTGTTGTACCTCGTTCCTTTCCTTCAGGGAACAGAAGTTATATTCATAACATTTCATTTTAAGGCTTGGATTTTGAACATGACTGGCTGAGGTAACTAATTCCTCAGGGATTCTTGAGAGTCGGGACAAAACACTTCCTAAAAAACTTTTTTTGAGAATGCACACTATATTGATTAGAGTTATTTATTACTGTAGAGAAAGGTCTTAGCTATTTAACCCCGTAAAGGAACAGGCTCTAAATAAAAACATTTTTTCTATAAATTAACATGTTTCCCTTAGACAGTGGATTTGTGTCAACTCCATCAGACACACAAAAAAGAATATAATTTTAATAATTCTAGTCCAACAAGAATCTAAAGTTCTGATGTATGTTGTAATAGTGTTTAGTTACTCTGATATGCCATGAAATATAATATATAAACCTAATGTGTGATTTCACACTATTTTGAAAACCAAGATTTCTAAATAGTTGCATTTTCAAACTTTGTTTTTAATTTTTATATTATAAAAACAATTTCTGTAAGTAAATAAGACACAAGAGGATGTAGAGCCAATGCTCCTTTATTACTTAAACAATATAAACTGAAGAAACAATTTTTTTTTTCTCCAAAATTGAAGAAAAACATACATCTGACGGTGTTGACGAACACCTGACGGAGTTGACGAGAAACTGACGGAGTTGATGACATTGCATATGTTATTGAACAAATGTGTTTTTAAACCGATCGACAATAGGTCAATAGGTGAAAATAGATTAAGAACTAATAACTCCTTGTTTTCATACTGAACATACCGTTAATGCAATTAACCACCGCGCCGACAAGGCGTTTCCAAGCACATTTTCGTATTTTGGTGAGTTGTGCAGCCCGGCATAAGTATCCCCCCTCCCCTAACTCAGCTCCTTCCAGCGGCGTAGGTCATAGGGAGGGAGGAGAGAGGGCGTTGAGTGGGTTTAACACAGCCGAGACCTGTATTGACCAATAACATCAGCTCTTCTTCTCGCCTTTGAATCCGCCACTAGCGAGGCGTATTACCATTTTCGTGAAGTAGTCAAAGAGATCAAGAGATGTCTGAAGACAGCAATGCCACACGATGGCGACAGAAGGCAGCTCCTCAACAAGTGTCACTGTAAGCGCTGCATTGGGCGTCCTCCGCACTGTCTCATATAAGCACAGATGGATTTGGTGTGTGTAATGTTGGACCCACTGGTAAGACAAACACCCTTTTCCACAAATAAAGACAATCACATTAAATTGGATATATTTAAACCTCACGTGACAAAGGTGGGTTGTGCGCAAAGGTCACAACATAAATTCGAATAATGGCATTAAAATCGGAACCAATCTGTGTGTAAATCGTGCTCCGTGGCCTGGCTCTTTCTTTCATAGATGTTGACATATAAAATAAATTTGGCTCACAAAACTGATTATTATAATATTTGTATGTAGGCTTAAAGTAAAAAACTCATCTGATCACTGGAACAAATCATCTGTTCAGCTGCCGCAGCAGCAGCTGCAGCAGGACGGGTAGAGGACACGGAGACATGTCCAGGTTGAGCTGTGTGAGAAATAAGAGGAAGAGGAAGCTAGAAATGGGGGCAGACAAATTAAATATCTTGTTAACTTCATCATGTGTATTTATTTACTAGATATTTGATTCAATTTCATTCGGATTCAGCAGCTGTGTTAATTTGGTCAGGTTGAGTGTCCAAACGCATGCCAAATGCGCTCATCAGATCAGATATAGATCAGAATATATCGATATAGATCTAAATGTATGTGCTGACACAGATTATTAGTTGTTATTGATTATTTATTGCACGGAAATGTTCCTGACACTGTGGAAACCTGCTGGTGAGGCCGATATACCGCCGGTCTCCCAAAATACCACTAGCCCATCCGGATCCACCTGCGCTGAAAGCTGACCAGGTTTGAATCTGCGAGCTTTCAGCGCACTTTACATGCCGGCAACAAGTACAAAAATGTCACTGCACCAGCTGATTCTGTGGACACCTCACCCTGCCACACATCCACGCCCAGCTTGGCGGACCTCGGTGCACCTCAGTCCACGAAAATACCAAACTGGCTGTACGCTGAGCTCCGCCAGACGAAAATGCCACTGCGCGGGGTTCGCTACCCTCCGCCATGTCGCCGGTGGACACAAAAATAGAGCCCAAGGTCTGAGGGTCCAAGTTAACAATGTAAAAATAATAACCTTTTTCTTCTATCTGGTATCCCACCTACACTGGGGTTTAAAAGAGCAACATAGAACTTCTTGCGCACTCTATAAGAAGCCAGTGTGTAGATTTTAGGTAGTGAAAATTACATACTGCACCTTTAGGATTGTACATTAATCAATCAATCAATGAGATTAGGTGTGTGTGTGTGTGTGTGTGTGTGTGTGTGTGTGTGTTGGGAAAGTTTGACAGTTATAATTAAGCAGACAGCCTGCCCATGGTCTACTCTACAAAACAGAAGTATATGGTAAAATAACGTAATATATGCTATATATGTACTTTTATGTGCAGATAAGACCCTGGAATAACATTGTTATCCTTAACCATGTTCAAAAATAGCATAATGTCAGCACATAAAGAGGTTATAGGTGGATTTGTCAACTCCATCAGCTTACATGTCAACTCCGTCAGACACAAAATCTGACGGAGTTGATGTCTGACGGAGTTGACGTAAGGGCATGTATTTTCCCTCCAAAACATTTATTGTACAGTGCAGCTAGGTACTTTTTTGGCAGTTGCTAGCTGTCCTGATAATCTCACTAAAATACTTTAATTGAACTCACTATGGTTTAAAAAAAAGTATAATAACAGAGGGACGGTGTTGACATGGTCCAGCTGTGACCATACAAACATTGACATTGTTTGTCTAAAATATCAAAAACTGTAAAACCTACCAGACCATGTGTGGTGGTGTTGCATTCACCAGAAGCAGGAAATGAAAAGGGGTCCTCAGGGATATAGCTGACCATGATATTGCATGATTTAATGAGGTTTATAGAATAATCTGATGGAGTTGACAGAAACTGAGGACACAACTTTGATAGGCAGATTTTTAGGCAAAAAGCTATTTGATGTTCAGGCCATTCATTGTTTATATATTTATAGCCCTGAATTTTTATTTGATGTATATGTTTTCACAATTATAGAGTTTTTTAAGGTTTTTTGGGGCTGGTCAATATTGTGACCTCTTGCTGAGGACACAACCAATAACATGGACCTTCTAACCACAGACGTTTCATTTAAACAAATATCCCCCCAAAAAGTAAATATCTGTGCTAAAAAATAGGATTGGTATACACAAATCCATTAGATTTAACTTTTTGAGTATGTCAAACATTTAGAATTTCTTAATTGTTTTGAATAAATTAGACTTTTCTATGTAGGACATGTTTTGTCCCGACTCTCAAGAATGGGTGTCCTGTGTCATGGCAGAAAACCCAACTTTAAAGGCCTGCCATGGCCACATCCATTAACTCTTGAACAGAAGCAGAGAAACCAGTCTCCTGTTTCTTCCTAAAGCCAGTTTGAAGTGGATTTGTCAGTGGAAATAAACTGTAGCAGAGACAATTGTTTTTGCTTTTCACCTTAAATTCACCCTCAAAGGAATGCAGAGTCCCCTGGTCACTGAAAGGAGATGGGGGTGAACTTCCACACCAAAATTATGGCCTTTTACAACCCCCTGGAAAATAACTAAGAGGTGCTCTCCCACTATCTCCCAGGCAGATAGTCAATCTTTTACACTTCAAAGAGACCCCAGACCAAATAAACATTCACCTTCTCACCTTGGCTGGGCTAACTCATAGCTGACACTTCAGCCTTAAGAATGACCCAGAGATCATGAGAATTTAACCCAAGAGTGCATTTGGAGCACCCATCCTTGAAACAGATCCCAGCCATAAATTCTCTGAGTGGCTTGTTTTTCCTGTGACTCTTTTTGGGTGCAGAATGAAGAGAATAACTGGTTTAATAAATAAATGGTTTAATTTCAGGTTTAATGGACACATCACCAGGATTTTCTATCTGTACGCCACATCAGCAGTGAAACAGTCTTTGTCCCATTTGTTTAGCATGTTTATAAGCCAAACTGCTAACTTCACAAATTTATTCCAGGTTTTCCAACTCCCTCTAGTGGGGTTTTCTGAATATGGTTTTGTTTAGAATCCAAATACGTATTCCCTGAATTTAATTATGTTGCATGTTATATTCTTTGTAGCTTAGTGAATGGTTTTCCCAAAATAGGTTAGCAATATTAGAAATAGTAACTGAAAACTCTTATACATGAGTTAAGAGTGTTGTGAACGTTTAAATGCTTTGTTTTGTCTACCTCACTCAGAATATGTGTTTTAATCATTTAGATTGACAAGGTTATATTCCAATTAAGTGTTATCACATATGTGTTTCTTATACTTGATGGTGTTTCTGTTAGAAAAGATAATTTGATTTTTACCCCTCTATAACTTTCAAAGAGTTTGTTAATCCTTGGGTTGTAGATTATCAGTAAAATGGCTGATTAAAGTTTGCTTTACATTTAATGTTATGGTTTGATGCATCTGCTCATAAGAAACAATATAGTGGATCTAGATCGTGTGTGATTAAAAAAATCATGAGTGAGTAAATTAGATCTAACTTGCTTATTAAAGGTCCCATGGCATGCCAATTTCACACAACTTAAAACAGTCCCCTGGTGTGTTAAAAGCATGTCTGTGACGTCCTTCGGTCAAAATTCGATTTGGATCAATTATTTTAGTGTTCTTTTTATCAGCTAAAAACAGCTCCGCTCAAAATCCTCCGTTTTGGGCCATGTCTCTTTAATGAAATGAGCTGCACCTAAGCCACGTCCACTTTACACCCATCTCTCTGGAAGGGGCTGTGGCTGTGCTCCGATAGCCATGTGCTAATGTTTACATTGGCTCGGTCATGGCTGCAAGAAGATCGCTCGTACAACCCTACCAGTTTGAGCCAGAGTCTGTCCCAGAGGGAGAGGCTCCGGAAGAAACTCTTAGCCGTGTTCAGACCAAACACAAATTGAAGTGATCTAGTCGACACATCCTATGTATTATTCAAAGCCACCAGGAGGGTCACGCTTAGCCGGGACGTCCCGTATTTGAGCCAAAAGAGGCGCGTCACCGCACGGGTAAATGCTAAAGCTACATGCTGCTCCGGAGGGGGATTTTGTCCCCTGCCGCCGGAGTTGTCAGGGAAGAAGCGAGCGGCTAAAATACGGGAGGATCCGGTAAACCGGCTTGGATCCGGTGTGTTTATCAAAGCTTGATGGCCGTGTTGAGGCACCGGGGGGAATCTAGGTTAAACAGTAAGTCAAAATAAAATGTTCATACTTACAGATGCCACGTTTGTAGTAGGATCACGGATAGTTGGTGCAGATTCATTCTTTATCTTCAGACATCTAGCAAATCCAGCATTGAACTGTCCCTCGTTGATAAAACAGTCCGAAGTGAAATGGTGCGCACATACGTACAGATATTTTGGAAGTGCCGCGGGTACGTTCCCATTATAAATAAAATCCACCCATTGAGTCCTCAAATCCTCCGACAAGGGAGTTTTCAAAAGAGTTTTGTGCTCATTTGTGCAGCCAACAACAGAGCAAATGCTACCTCTTTTTCAGATTGTACTTTCGCCATGGTTCTAACCAGAGCAATGTGAGCGAGCTACCGGGAATAATGGCGCTGTATGGATAATCTTTTGGGCAGGGCAGTGGGCGGCTCCATGGGCAGTACCATCAACCCGCCAGCACTGACATGACATCATGTCAGCGGAGTTTTCAGAACGGCTGGCTCTGAGCACACAGTTCCTAAATATGGAGATAACTAAAAAACGACTGGATGGAATTTTTTCGAACTTGGGGGGATTGTAGCGGTTTTCTATCCCTGATATGCACCCCCCTCCCATTAACAAAGTCAGTTTTTCATGCCATGGCCCTTTTAATATCACAAGTTAAATTCAATTGGCCTGTCAGCTGATGGGCCTGCATTGTGAACAAAGGGTGCACGAGTGCCCCCTCTTTTGGTTCAAGCCCCACATGAATGGATTAAAGCACTAAGCTGACGCCATTCGGTCTCTTATCATCTTTGCTCTTACTGTCTTTTTCTCTTGTGTTTTTTCTTTTGTTGGCATTTTTGTCTCCATACATCGTCTTGTAATTTTTCTCTGCGTTTTTATTCGTCTTAAGTTTTCAGACTTTTTCAGAAACTTGGATTTTGTTTAGTTTGCTAATGTGACTCCTGAAGATAATATTGGCTGGCCAGCGAAATTATTTTCTTAAGTCATTGGCATGAATTAATCAGCAGTAAAGCTAATCCTTAACGCCTGGAGGACCAATCAGCCTTATCTGCCGAGCTGCGTTTGCCACAAGGTTGCAAGAGAGGAGCACTGAAGGATGCACGGGGCGCCGGTATTTGTGCAGATTTCATCTCTAGGTGTTAGTGCCTCCATGGGCTGTTTTGTTTCCAAACTGCTGGGGGCCTAGTTGAGAAAGTTAAGACAGATTTTGTCGTCCAAGATCCAAGTGATCTGTTTTCTTTCTCAGACCAACTTTCTGCTGAGTTTGTTGAGGTTAAAGTTCTTAAGAGAACTTAAGAGAAAAGCAAATATAGGAATAAAACAACAGTTTCAGAGCTCAGGTATCAGTAAACAAATCTGAATGATAATTTAATACAAATTGAAGAAGCTTAACATTTTTCATGCTCTGTATTTGGGCTGGGAGACAATTTTATTAGACTTTTTCAAGTTTTTAAACTAAATCATTTTTTTTTAACAAGGAGTGAAAGTTTTAATTCCTTTAAATTAACATGTTGTTTTTAAAATCTGACTTTTTAAGGGCTATGAAAATTGTTGATCCTCTATTTGAAAATGTTTTCTCTCCCATGATTAAACATTAAATCTTTTGAATATGTGTTCTAACTGTATTTTCTTCATGTTGTGTGAATTTAATTTGTCTAAACCTGAAGTTTTAGTTTAAAATTTTTAGAATTTTTATGGTTTATTCATGTGTTTTCTGTGTTTGATCCTCAGGTCGAGTTCGCAGTCTCAGCAGCTCATTATGGATGCTAACTCACCTGACAGCACTTCACATCAATGACAACAACCTCACCCGCCTCCCCCCCGACATTGCCAAACTGCCTCACCTGGTTTATCTGAACCTGTCCTCCAACAAGCTACGCAGCCTGCCCGCCGAACTCGGCAACATGGTCTCTCTCAGGTGAGCAGACATGTATGAAGTTGAATAGCCGACCCATTGATGATAGCTGTATTATTGTGTTGCTGTGTTTTTGTGTTGCAGTCTTGTCACGATAATGATGTTTTTTAAAGTTTTTAAGGATTTCAAACATTTAAAGCCTGTTAGCACAGCACAGTGCACAGAGCATTAACCAGAATACAGAAACTGCAACACTCTGCAATGTACCACACTGAAACTCGTCATAACGCTAACTCTTCTCTCTGAACTGTTTCTGATTTCAGGGAATTGCTGTTAAACAACAATCTGTTGCGAGTCCTGCCTTATGAGCTTGGGAGACTTTTCCAACTCCAAACCCTGGGACTGAAAGGTAACCCTGACTCTCTTGTATTAATTCATTGTTGATATCTTTATCTTCATCAGAAAATAAACTCAATTATTCTCACTTTTATTTCTCAGTGTAAAGGGTTTTTAAAAAACTGTTTGTTTGTTTGTTTTTTTTGATGTTGTAATTTCTGAATATTTTAAAGCGTGTGTGTGTCTGTGTGTGTGTTTGGGGGGGTATCTACTTTGGTAGATGGTGTCCACACTACAAGTTTCAAATCATAAGGTAAACGTATTTTTTCATAATCTGAGAAGGTAGATATAAACTGCTCAGATCGGGCAAACGCGAGAAAATACAGACCGTAATCAATATGTGAGATTCAAAAAAATTCTTTTAGGATAGGATTATAGTCTCTCCCTCATGGTTCATCTGAACTTCCAGGACGGCCTGCCTCCAACAGCGTGTGAGGTGACACTCACAGCAGAGCTGGGTAATGCTGCTCATGTGATTAACCACAGTAAAGGAGGCGGGACCAAAACATGGAGCTCTGCCTCACCTGGGGATTCCACTGGATCTGGAATGGCTCAGCTCTGCTCCAGACCGGCAGGCAGATCAAATACGCAAGCATACAGCAGCCAAAAGCACATAGTAGCTACAACAGCTACACAAAAAGGGCACCCAATAGAACATAATAATAATTGAGACTTAACAACCGGATCTGATCAACCTCCACCTAAGGAGGAGAGGTTAAGAACAGTTCAATGTATTGACTCTATTTTATTTTGAAAATTAACCAGATATTTTACTCTGTAACCACATACAACATACAACCGCTGCTGCTCATGCTGCATTGCACTGAATTGATGCGCCGTGCCGCGACATCCGGCAGGAATAGAAGCCTTGCGTATTTGATCTGGCCACCAGAGTTTTGCCCGTAAAAGACAGCAGCTTAAACAAAGCTTTTTAGATGGACACTGAAATAATGATATTTTATCCCACCAGAGGGAGAAACAGGAGGCTGTTTTTGATCTGAAAATCGTGTAAAGATATTGAAGAAGAATCAGAGAGCAAGTTTAAAGTCAGACAAAAATGAACAATACCCCCTCTTTAAAGAGTCTATTTGTTTCTGAAGGATGGAGACAGGTTTATATGACATCCTGCTTCAAATACTCTTATCAAATAAATAGAAGTTAATTTTGCGTCTATTTGCAGGTAACCCTCTTTCCCAGGACATCCTAAACCTGTACCAGGAGCCTGATGGAACACGAAAACTGCTCAACTATATGCTTGACAATCTGGCAGGTAAATTCATTTAAACATCTTCAACAGCTCCTTCACAGGTGAACACACAAAAATATGAGATCAGGTTTTGTCTGTAGTAACCAGGTAAATCGGAGAATGTGTGTTCATCACTGATTAATGTTTTTTTCCATTCTCACTTGTACCTGTAACAGTTCATCCTGAGCAGCTTCCTCAGAGACCATGGATCACCCTGAAGGAGAGAGATCAGACGAGTCCAACAGGTAAGATCTGCTCTCAACTGAATACCTGAGTGTCCTGATATCAGACTGTATATAAGCAGGTAGCATGTTAAAGAAAAGGTGTTTTGTAATCATCACAAGCATTCATACCTTTTTTTTTTTTGTCTACCAGAGTGAAGGTGTACTGACTGAATTTGAATCAGCTGTTCATTCGTCAGACATTTAAAGGGGCCATGGCATGAAAAACTGACTTTGTTAACGGTAGGGTGGTGCATATCAGGGATAGAAAACCGCTACAATCCCCCCAAGTTCAAAAAAATTCCATCCAGTCGTTTTGTAGTTATCCCTGTATTTAGGAACTGTGTGCTCAGAGCCGGCTGTTCTGAAAACTCCACTGACATGACGCCATGTCAGTGCTGGCGGGTTGATGGTACTGCCCATGGAACCGCCCACTGCCCTGCCCAAAAAATTATCTAAACAGCGCCATTATTCCCGGCCGCTCGCTCGCATTGCTCCGGTTAGAACCATGGCGAAAGTACAATCTGAAAAAGAGGCAGCGTTTGCTCTGTTGTTGGCTGCAAAAACGAGCACAAAACTCTTTTGAAAACTCCCTCGTCGGAGGATTTGAGGACTCAATGGGTGGATTTTATTTATAATGGTAATGTACCCGCGGCACTTCCAAAATATCTGTACGTATGTGCGCACCATTTCACTCCGTACAGTTCAACGCTGGATTTGCTAGATGTCTGAAGATAAAGAATGGATCCGTACCAACTATCCGTGATCCTAATACAAACGTGGCATCTGTAAGTATGAACGTTTTATTTTGACTTACTGTTCAGCCTAAACTCCCCCCGGTGCCTCAGCACAGCCACCACGCTTTGATAAACACACCGGATCCGCGCCGGTTTACCGGATCCTCCCGTATTTTAGCCGCTCGCTTCTTCCCCGACAACCCCGGCGGCGGGGGACAAAATTCCCCTCCGGAGCAGCATGTAGCTTTAGCATTTACCCGTGCGGCGACGCGCCTCTTTTGGCTCAAATACGGGACCTCCCGGCTAAGCGTGACCCTCCTGGTGGCTTTGAATAATACATAGAATGTGTCGACTAGGTCGCTTCAAGTCGCGTTTGGTCTGAACGCGGTTAAGAGTTTCTAACGGAGCCTCTACCTCTGGGTCAGACTCTTGCTCAAACTGGTAGGGTTGTACAAGCGATCTTTTTGCAGCCATAACCGAGCCAGTGTAAACATTAGCACATGGCTATCGGAGCACAGCCACAGCCCATATACTGTATAAACTATGGACAACCTGGTTCCGCCTTCCACCTGTATACAGATTTGAAGCCAAAAAGCTCTCAGTAATTCCGGGTTTTTCTCCACTTCCTTGAAACCAGAGCTGCGCAGTAGCGATGCACGCATTAGGCCGCGCAGTTGCCGAGAGTCCCTGTGATGACGCTCGGCTCAAACAGCGTATCCCCCCGGGTGAGCTACGCAATCCCTGAACGCCCATAGGCTGTACCAGGTGTCAATCATAGAAAACACGAACCCCCTTATAACTTTTAAAAATGGAGCTGTACAGAAAAAAAAGGACTTGAGCACAAACCAGTCTTACAATAACTACATGTCAACATCACAAGCAGGGGGGAGAAAAATGTATGTTCTGTGTTATAAATTTCGAAAGTTTGTCCACAGTCCCATAAGCTTTGCTGGCAGAGGCGGGATTTATGACCCGTACTGCAGCCCACCATCAGAGGGTGCTGTTCTCGGAGTGGCTTCACCCAGCGAGGAGGCAGACTCTGTCCATTCTATATACAGTCTATGCCACAGCCCCTTCCAGAGAGATGGGTGTAAAGTGGACGTGGCTTAGGTGCAGCTCATTTCATTACAGAGACTGAGGTTTTTGAGCGGAGTTGTTTTTAGCTGATAAAAAGAGCACTAAAATAACTGATCCAAATCGAATTTTGACCGAAGGACATCACAGTCATGCTTATAACACACCAGGGGACTATTTTAAGTTGTGTGAAATTGGCATGCCATGGGACCTTTTAAAGTTTCAATATTTTTAGCTTTCATTTTAAAATTCTTCAAAGTTTTTTAATTTAATTTTATCCTCATAATGAAATAAAACTAAAATGTCCTCCTCCTACTTACCCCCCCCCCCCCCCATCTCCTTCTCCTCATCTCCTTACCAGCTGCATTCACCGTCATGTGTTATAATGTGTTGTGCGATAAATATGCCACACGGCAGCTCTATGGTTACTGTCCATCCTGGGCGCTCAGCTGGGAATACCGCAAGAAAGGCATCATGGAGGAGATTACGCACTGTGACGCTGACATCATTAGCCTACAGGTAAACACTGTAACAACTGTAAACAATTGAAGAAGATAAACAATACTACAAATAATAATAAAAGAAAGGGAGAAATAAAAATACTGATTGCTGAAATCCTGAAATACCGAGAGATCTAATTACTGGAGATCAACATGATGGGTGCAGATGGCATTAAGGTGCATAGATAAGTCGGCAAACAGGAGTCTGGCTGAGGTATTAGGGTGGTCCATGTGTTCCTGGAGGGTGTCAAGGATGTATATTTTGGCATTGTCAGCATCCCAGTTTGTGTGGTATGTGAACTGGAGAGGATCTATCACTAAGTTAGTTGCACCCATAATGAGGTGTTTTATAATCTTCTCCATTGAATCCATCACAAGGAAGGTGAGGGCCACAGGTCTGAGGTTGTTGAGTGCTTAGGTGGTATTCTTCTTTGGGATGGGGATGATTGTGGTGTGTTTCCATGGCTGGGGGACTGTTGCAGTATCAAAAGACCTCTGGAACATGGTCTTAAAAGCACCTCCCAGCTGCTTGGCACAGTACCTTAGAGCATGACTGCTGATGTTGTCTCGGCCAGGAGAGCTAGTGTCTTTGGTATTCCTAGGGGCTCTTGCCACATCCTCACCAAGGTACAGGCAGAGTCACTGGGTTTGAGTGTATTTTAACTTTGTCAATTTGCATGGCATCGTCCTTCTTAAATCTGTTGTAGAAGAAGTTGAGTTCATTCTGTCAAGAGGTGCGGTTGCTACTCTCCACTGGAATGGTGTTTTTGCAGATGGCAGTGATGTTTTTAAGGCCCTGGAGATCCCATGAGTGAATTTTGGCTCCACCTTGTTCTTATAATGCAGCCTGGCAGCTTTAATGACATGCTTGACTTCTCTATTGACATCTTTTTTTCTCCAGATCAAAGCCAGTAAAGAAAACTCCCCTTTTTGTCTTAGGTGAATTAAAATGCTTTCAGAGTGAGACATAACTTTCCTGCTCAGCTTATAGGGATTTAAAATTGTATTTTCAGTTGCTCACTTTACATCAAATTTCACTCCAAAAGGATCTTTAATGTTTCTGTCAGAGTAATGTGTAATGTTTTGTGTGTGTGATTGTGTGTGTGTGTGTGTGTGTGTGTGTGTGTGTGTGTGTGTGTGTGTGTGTGTGTGTGTGTGTGTGTGTGTGTGTGTGAGTGCATGTGTGTACGTACGTGTGTGTGTTTGCATCTGTATGTGTCCATGTAAATCAGGAAGTGGAGACAGAGCAGTACTACACTCTGTTTCTGGAAACCCTAAAGGTTCGTGGGTATGACGGGTATTTCTGTCCGAAGTCTCGAGCTAAATTGGTCTCTGAGGCTGAGAGGAAACACGTGGATGGCTGTGCTGTTTTCTTTAAGACACAGAAGTGAGTCAAAGTTCTTATTTTGTTCTTTGTTGAGCATGATCTGTGTGGCCCTGATTTTATTTAGCTCTCTGGCTGTTTTTTGTTTAAAATCAGTTTCTTATTCTGACTCATGTCTGCGACTGCCAGAAGATTCCACATGTTTCATTAGATTTTTGAGGTCTGCACTGATCTTGCTATTTCTGTGGACTTAACAGGTTCACTTTAGTTCAGAAACATACAGTCGAGTTCAACCAAGTTGCCATGGCAAACTCTGAGGGGTCAGAAGTCATGCTGAACAGAGTGATGACCAAAGACAACATTGGGGTCGCTGTGCTGTTAGACGTCAACAAAGGCATTTTCTGTGGAGGTAAAAACAACAGATAGACGAACTAACCATGCATTTCCTAATCTTGCTAGATTAACAATTCAACCAATCAATGAATCAGTTCATCCCCTGTGTGACCATTCTCTCATTTGATCAGTTACTCAATCAATAATTCAATTGAAGACAGGTTTTCTTGAAATATTTCTGTTGACACAGATCTTCTAACAGTGATAAATTTGAACGCACAGATCTGTTTATTTTCAGCCAAAACAAAAACCAAACAGTGTTGGGTAAGAAAAAAAAGAAACTCAGAGAGACTGTGATCAATTTAAACTGGTGCTTTGAAAAATAATTAAACTCATTTAACTAAAAGGATGAAATTGGTTCTCCATCCCATTAAACAGCTTCTCTGACAGAGAATCGTAGCACTGTAACATAATCAAATAGGGTGTCTGATAGATTCAAACAGTTACTCTGGGTAAACAAAAAACAGTTTTACAGCAGAATTTAATTTATCAACTTAAAAAAACGAAAGTTATATATGTAACTAAGGTTCTATAGATCCCGTATGACTGCCAGAGGCGGTGCTTTAAGCACTGAATGATTCTCTTCGTGCATGCGCAGTTCGAGCATTTGTACCAAAATAGTCACGCGTGACCCCAGGATGAACCGGAGGAAGTTATTTCTTCCACCGGTCACCGAGGGTTCAGTCCCTACAGAACTTTCTCACCAGAACACGAGGGTTCTGAGTGACGGAGTGCTCTGGCGGTCATTTGGGATTCATAGAACCTTAGTTACATACGTAACTTTCGTTCTATTTCATCCCTTCTGACCGCCAGAGGCGGTGCTTTAAGCACTGAATGACTCATACTTGGAAAGTCACGAGGAACCCCAATTACAAACTCTGGAAGGAGAACCACACCCAATGAGTGGGGAGTGGCCACGTTCACCCTATAGAATCTTGAGAACGTGCCTGATGACGCCCACAAGGCAGTGGAGCAGATCTCCTCGAGGGGAACTCCTCTAAGGGCAGCCCATGAAGTGGAGACACTCCTCGTTGAGTGGCACCGTATCCTGGATGGCGTGGGATGGTTACTAGCCTGATGGACGTGGCTGATCGTGTCTACGACCCAGTGGGACAGGCGCTGCTTTGAAAGAGCGCTGCCTTTATTTGGGCCACCGTAACATACGAATAGCTGATCCGACTGGCGAATACGTGCAGTGGCTCCGATATAGGCCCTGAGGGCCCGCATCGGGCACAACAGCTCCAGCTTGTCTGTCCTCTCCCCCGGTGGAGGGCTAAACTGGGCCAGCCTAATAGGTTGGTTCAGGTGTGCCGTCGACAGTACCTTTGGTAGGAAGGGCGTGTTGGGCCACAGAGTGACACCTGATCCGTCTGGGTTCCACCTCAGACACGAATCACTCATTGACAGGGCATGCAACTCACCGATGTGCTTTGCGGAGGTGATGGCTATGAGAAAGGCCGTCTTGCAGGACAACCACTTTAATTCCGTGCGTGACAAGGACTCAAAAGGAGCCTTGCATAGGGAGTCCAGTACAAGATTGAGGTCTCATGCTGGTGCTCTTGGGGCTCTTGGAGGATTTAATCTCTGAGCCCCCCTGAGAAAGAGCGACACCAGACGGTGGCTTCCCACTGTGCAGTTGTTGACCCCAGTGAGCTGGGAGGATATTGCTGCCACGTACACTCTTAACGTAGAAGGGGTCCGGCCCTTATCGAGGAGACCTTGCAGGAACTCCAGGATTGCAGGCACTGGGCAGTGAGCTGGGTCCTTGCCCCGGACCCTACACCAGTTAGGGAACATCTGCCACCTGTTCTTGTACTGCAGCCTGGTGGATGGTGCCCTCGCGTTCAAGATGGTATGATGAACCGTCTCTACACAGCCGCTCAGCAGCGGCTCGGGCCCCCCAACGGCCAAACGCACAGCTGGAGGCGTTGTGGGTCTGGATGCCATAACCGCCCCCCTAGCTGCGAGAGCAGGTCCGTCCTGGCAGGGAGGCGCCATGGCGTCCCGTGACAGAGTTGGTGGAGGAGGGGGAACCATATTTGCCCTGGCCAGAAAGGGCCCACCAGGAGAACGGTGTGGCCCTCTTGAGCTACTCTCCGAAGGACCTGGTGAATTAGAGGGGGAGGTGGGAAAGCATAGACAAGCGCTCTCGGCCAGGGGTGGGAAAACGCATCTTGGCCCAGAGGGCTGGTTGTCTACGCTAGGGAGAACCAGAGCGGGCAGTGGGTCGATGCCTCTGAGGCCCTGCTGAAGTGGCTCCATATGGTGTGCACCACGTCTGGGTGAAGGCGCCATTCTCCTGATGAAGGCTTCTGGCGGGAGAGAAGGTCTGCCACCTGGTTCTGCTCTCCCGGTATATGCATGGCCCGCAGGCTCATCAGGCGAGGGGCTGCCCACGTCAGGAGGTCCCTTAACACCTGTAGCAGCCGCGCAGATTTTGTACCACCCTGATGGTTTATGTGGTATACGGTCGAAGTATTGTCCGACCGAACAAGAACATGTCTGCCTGCCAAATAAGGCATAAAGTGCTTTAGGGCCAAGTGCACCGCTTTTAGCTCCAGCACATTGATGTGGTTGCAGTGGTCTGCCACAGACCACTGTCCCCGAGCTGTCCTGCCCTGCCACACTGCGCCCCAGCCCAAGGGGCAGGCGTCCGTGGCAACGGTCTCCCTGCGGGACGGGATGGCCCCCATAGGGACACCCCTTACAATGTAGGCCCTGTCCCTCCATGGGGCTAGAGCAAGGAGGCACTGCCGTGACACGACAATCTTCCGGTGCCTGTGTCGCTCTGGATCTAGGTAGAAACTGTTCAGCCACCTTTGCAGGGGCCGTAGTGCCAGCAGGCCCAGCGGCACGACGGCCGTGACAGACGTCAGCATGCCCAAGAGGCGGAGGAAGGTGAGGAGTGGCAGTCGCCTGCCTCTCTTGAAGGATGGCAACAGCCTTAAGATGCCGTCCACCCGGCTGGGGGAAGGACGTGCCACCATCGTTCTGGTGTCTAGGACCAGACCGATAAAGGTTATGCTGTGGGAAGGTACCAGGCAGCTTTTCTCTGCATTTACCTTGAGTCCGAGGCTCGCCACATGGGACAGGGGGTGTGATATCTCCTCGGCTACCTGCGCCTGGGATGGAGCGCAGATCAGCCAATCGTCTAGATATGGCAGTGTCTTGGTGCCCTGGGACTGCAGAGGTTGGAGTGCAGCAGCCACTACCCTGCTGAACACTCTCGGGGAGAGGGAGACCCCAAATGGGAGCACACGGAATTGCCAGTGGCAGCCTCTGTAGGCAAATCGCAGGAACTGGCAGTGTTGCCTCCCTATGGGGACATGAAAGTAAGTGTCTTTCAGGTTGACAGATGTGAACCATTCGCTGTGGACAACGGACTGTAGCACATCCGCTGTAGTCAACATATGAAAAGGCAAGGTCTTTAAGTACCTGTTCAGTCCCCTCAAGTCCAGGATTGGCCGGAATCCACCGGTCTTCTTCATGACAAGGAAGTATGCAGAGTAGAACCCCCTGGGATGCTGCAGTGGGTCCACTGCCGCGATGGCACCCTCGGCCAGGAGGGCGGATAGCTCCTAATTGAGAGCAAGGGCTTTTGCTGGGTCGGCAATGATGGTAATCTTGACCCGGCTGGCTGTGGGGGGCCGGCGTCGGAACTGCAGCTTGTACCCATGGGTTAAGGTGGTAACAACCCACGGGTCTGAACCTTGTGCAGCCCAGCGTCTGAGCTGCTGCTGTGTAAAGTATCCGACGGCCGGCCCCCCGGGCTCAACGTCTGCCCCCCCCGGCCCCTAGGGGCCCTGGGAGCGGGGGGTCCACCAGGGTCCAGGGCTCGAAACTGCCTAGAAGGCAGGCGGCCTGAGCCCCGAGAGTCCCGGGTCTGCCTTTGCGTAGGCCGCTGAGGACGCTGATCCCTACTCGGAGCTGGTGGAAGCCGGACTCCAGAGGCGGCTGGGGGGCCCCTGCCCCTGCCGGAGGGAGGCCTGCTGGGGGGTGGCATGCGGCGCATGCTCAGCAGCTGCTGCCTGGTCTGCCCAGCCTGGATTGTTTGCTCCAGCGCCTCTAGAGCACGTGGGCCAAAAACTGCTCCTGGCTCGACATGGAGAGCTCGAAGCGTTTTCCTGGACGCCTCAGTCAAGCCTGACTGAGAGAGCCAGACCTGTCGTTGAGCCTGTACCAGGTAGGAAATTGTCCTCCCAAGCTCTCTGGACATAAGGCCGAATGCCTCCAGTGCCGCGTCACAGAAGGTGACAGGTTCCTTGTCTGTATAGCCCTCCTGCAGAGACGCTGACAGGGCAAGCAGGAGGTGCGACAAAGAGTTCCCAATCCTAGCAGCACATGCTGCCGCATCGTAGTCCCTGATGAGCAGGTCGTCTGTTAGCCTGCACTGTGGACGGGGACACCTTGTGTCCCGTCGCAGAGCCTCGTCGGGGGGGACAATAAGGGAGGCAATACTGGGCTCAATGGCCGGCATGTGATCCAGGCCGACCCCTGCAGTGTCGTGCATTGCCACCAGGGTACGGCCATCTGCCGAGAGGCGGGAGCAAGCCTTGGAGTCTCTCCAGCAGGCGTGCAGCTCCTTTATATAGTCCTCTGCATGTGGGACAGCAAATGCAGTGGAGGTTGGCCTGCGCCTGAAGAAGGCGCTCGCAGGGGCTGGCTCTGCCTGCTGCTGTATAGGCAGACCTAATCGCTCCAAGGCCATCCGCAGGATGGCGCGCATGGAGCCGTCCTCCTCTGGCAACAAAGTCTGAGCCGAGGAGTGAGAGCCCTGATTGGACACCTGGGAGACCCCGTGTGTCAGGGGTCCCCCTCAAGTGCCTCCCTAAGATGTTCAGGTCCAAGGCAAGCTGGGCAGCGGTCATGACCCTCATCTGGCTGGAGGCCAACCTGACATGAAGCACTGTGGTGGGTGCTATCCATCACACTGAGCAGTCCCAACTATGCCAGGGCGCTGACGCTACTGGTCGCTGGGCAGTAGACGCCATGAGCTGGGGGGAGGGAGCGCAAACGCTGCCTGCACCAGCGGAGGCTAGCTTTAGCTGGATGGAAGGTTGCTTATACTGGGGGGAGGGAGCGCTCACGCTGCCTGTACCAGGAGGGAGTTGCACTTAAGCTGACAGTAATGGCCCACGGACAACAAAATTAGCCAAATAAATAAATAAAGAAAGAAATAAGGCTATTCAGCAAACAGAAAAGCACTTAAAGTGCCCAGGGCGCTAACGCAACTGGCTATAGTGGTCGATGCCAACAAAATAATGCTATCCAGCAAAAGAGCACTCAAAGTGACCAGGGTGCTAACGCAACTGGTAAAAATGGCCAATGCAAACAAAATAATGCTATCCAGCACAAGAGCACTCAAAGTGACTAGGGCGCTAACCCAACTGGTTGTAATAATGGCCAACACCAAACAAATACAGAGCTATTCAAAAGGACACTTCTGGCACCCAGAGCGCTAACGCAACTGGAACCGATAGCCACTGGACAAACAAAAGACAGATACTGAGGTCGACTACAACCAACGATAGCGTCGGCTGACGCCGGATGGCGACAACGTTTACTGGTGCGAGGAGAACTAGCTTTGGCCTTGTTTTTTTTGACAACAAAAAGAACAAAACGAGCAGACCTTTAGCTATAGCAAGTAACCGAAATGTCACGCTAACGCTCATGGTACGCAGTTGTATGCAGGGGGGAGGTGTTGCGCACACAGCCTCTACCAGCATAGGTTGTGACTTGTAAAACAATGCAAGTCCGCTCAACAAGCTTAGTACAACAGCAACCTACCTTGTCCGGAGGAGAGGGGGACGACGTCCCTTCCTTACCGGGCGAACGCCACAGCATCCGACAAAGTTGGTGAAGCTCTGCTCAGTCGGAGATAAACAGTAGACATAAAGAGCAACTCAAAGGAAGTCACAGTCCCTGGAGGGCGATTTTCGCTACCCAGACCTACGTCCATGGGACTACCAGCGACTTGACACACAGATTAAGGTAGGTTTGTTAGAAAAATGTCGCTCCTCGCAAGTTTGCAACTTGCGAAAGAAAAAGGGACTGAACCCTCCGTGACCGGTGGAAGAAATAACCTCCTCCGGTTCATCCTGGGGTCACACGTGACTATCTTGGTACAAATGCTCGAAATGCTCAGTACTTGAAGCACCGCCTCTGGCGGTCAGAAGGGATGAAATAGAACCTTTATTTATGCCCTCACGGTCATTACTGACATGGATGGAAACGTGGGGTGAACATGCACAATTTTATAACTTTGGAAGTTTTTTCGGATTACTTACCTATTTCTGTGTTTGCTTGACATAAAATACCTCTTATATACTGTAACTTGACTCATCTTTTTTCACCTCTTTGTAATTCTTTTCTTCTTTTTTACCCTCAGGTGTGAAGCCTCCTCAGGAAAGGCAGCTGATTCTAGTGGCAAATGCGCACATGCACTGGGACCCTGAGTTCTCTGATGTCAAATTGATCCAGACAATGATGTTCCTCTCTGAGCTGAAGAGCATTGCTGAGCGTGCTTCAGGTTCAATGGCAACTGGCTCTCCATCATCAGACCCCTCATCCATCCCCATTGTCCTCTGTGCTGACCTCAACTCGCTGCCTGACTCTGGTACGGCAGACTCGCTCTGTGGTCTTAGTTTTTAAAAGTATATGTATTATTAAAAGTTTCTGAACTAACAACCTTCAATCCAAACATTAAAACATTTGATCTAATCATTAAAGAAATCATTTAAGCATTTTGCTTTTTAAATTTACTCATCTAAAATTACAGACTCTTTCTTAAACACTCTTAACATTTCTGCTCTTGACAGAATTTAGATTTGTGAAATTGAGAATGCAGCATTTGACCCGCAGGTGTGGTGGAGTACCTGAGCAACGGTGGGGTGGCTGACAACCACAAAGACTTTAAGGAGCTGCGCTACAACGAATGTCTAACCAACTTCAACTGCAATGGTAAGAATGGCAACTCAGACGGCAGCATCACCCACAACTTTCAGCTGAAGAGTGCGTATGACAGCAACCTGATGCCTTACACCAACTACACCTACGATTTCAAGGTAAACATGTGACTTTAGCAACTTCTGCAATGCTGCTTCCTTCAGAGAAATAAATATCTCTCAAAAAAATCTGATTTCTTTTACTTTCAGAATTAGTTCTTCGAGAATAAAACCAGTTTTCAGTTTTTTATGATGAACAGATTCAGTTTATACTTCGTACAAATAAGATGATTCTTTCTCTGCTGTGAATAAAAAAAATAATATTGAAAACACTTATGTCCTGTTTTATTAAGAGACTTTATGAGAACTTAATGACTTTAATGATTGCTGGTTTTGAACGCAGATGAATAATTTTAAATATTATTGATAGTGTAAATGATTTTCTGTTTTAAAAACAGCTATTGGTATAAATGTTGTCTGTTTCCTTTGTACCTGCAGGGTGTGATCGACTACATCTTTTTCTCTAAGACTCATCTAAGCGTGCTCGGCCTGTTGGGACCTTTGGACAGTCAATGGCTGATCGATAACAACATCACTGGCTGCCCCCACCCCCACATCCCCTCAGACCACTTCTCTTTATTATCCCAGTTGGAGCTCAAGTCTCCTTGCCTTTCCCCCTCTCTCAACGGGCTGCACCTGCCAGCCCACAGGTAGTGCCACCTGAGAAAGCTGCCCGCCTCCTGATTCCACCTGAAACACTGCCCCTCCACACACACACACACACACCTAACTCAGCCCCTCAGATTTATACACCTTCCACCCCTCAACCCTTTGATGATTTATCCAGTTTCAACCCCAGGATTATACAGCCCCGCTCCCAGGTGTAAAGAGGTCCATAAAGTTTCTTGATCATGTGACACTTACAGGGATGAAGTATCAGCCTAATCGTTGCTCCTGCTTTTGTTTTGCACACTAAAAACATTTAATATATTAATCCCTTTAAATGGGAGATGGTGAAAGTCAGTATACACATTAAAACAGAGTAAAATACATTAAAACAGTGAAAAGACAGTGAACTGTACAAAATAAAGTAAAAACTGTAAAATCATAGCGTAAAGATGTTTTACCAAGTTAAAACAGAGTTTGTAAAGCCAAAAATTGGTGAAATTGAAGTTGCCATGTTAACTACTGATGTCAGTCATTTTTTTTAACGCCACAGTCAAGTCAGTGTTTGAGACATTTATGTCCTGTTTATATCACCACCTTTGGAACCGAAACTTTTATCTCTGAAATTTACAGACAGATTTTGTAAAAGAAGAAAAGTTAGGAAGAAAAATGAGGTTCAAACCAAAAAACTGAATTCAAGAACATAAAAAAAAACATCCAAAGTTTCATAAATAAAAATTCTGATGGGAAGTAGAGCAGAGAAACATGGAAAAACAACATTATGTAGAAGAACATAGAACGGACAACATAGAGAAGAATATAGAACAGGAGGAAATGGTCTGACTTCAAGTGTTTGTTTCCTTGTTTAATACTTATACTTATTCTCACATTGTTCTTGTCTCTGTTGCTGTCTTCAGAAACATCTTGGTTCTTGTTTCAGTTCTCATCTTGTTCTTGTCTTGGTTACTGTCTTAGTTCCTGTCTTTGTTTTTGTCTTTGTTCTTGTTTCATTTCTTGTCTTGATTCTTTTCTTTGTCCCTGTCTTGGTTCTTGTCTTTGTGTCTGTCTTGGCCCTTGTCTGTGTTCCTTTCTTGGTTCCTGTCTTAGTCCGTGTATTTGTTCCAGTAGAGTGACCATATTCTGAATCCCTCAGAAACCTTCAAAAACTACGCAGGGCCAAGTTTTTGAGGGTTTTTCAGGTCAGTTCAAGTGTTTTTTACGCGCTTCTAACTCAGTTAAATGCATATTCTGAACTCCCAAAAAGATACTTAACCAGGCCTCTTGGAGATACTGTAAAATACTGACACAACGTTGCATTTTTAAACAATATATTCCTTTATCTAAAGCATTTCTCCTCAACAAAATTATCAGTCACATATAAATATTTCTCTCTTTTCTTTCGCTCACTGGCAGATAGGGCATGCGTGGGTCAGTTTGCTTAGAACTGATCCGGCGGCAGAGCAGCAGAGAGCACTGATGTGCTTCACTGTTTTATAATGAATGAATAAATGTTAAGAGTGTTTCCAAATGAGTGTTTTCCAAATGAACCATTTAACATTTACAGTAAATACAATGGTCTGTGATGCAAAGATTATGTAGATGCTACACAAACTCAAAACTATGGAAGCCTGTTTCCACCAGTGAAAAAAAAAACAGGTTTCGTCTTTATTTTTTTTTGGTTTTCTGTCAGCTGACTGGCCAAAGAATTGTTTAAGCAGAAACTTAATCTCACACTATTTTCATATTAAAGCATAAGTTATATTTATTTACTGTTTTGGCAGCAAAAATGTGTTGTAGGGACTTTGATCAGGAGGATGGGTTACCAAAGGATCAAAATGAAACTCCTTATTAAGGTGATTTCAGTGAATCTAAACTTTGTATATTGTGTCACATGACTTGACTTTCAGCCCTTGACTCAGATTTAACCTTAGGGCTACGCTCTACACCAGTCATGCCTCTTTGAGACTCCTAGAGTCACATACTTCAAACAAAACCATCACAAAACGACTGACATACTGATACTACTGTGGGTGCAGGAAGTATTGGTTTGTGTATTCTTGGTTTTTATCTGTCTGTTGTAAGCAGCAACGTTCAGATTAAATCCAATTACCTCCCTCTGTTTTAAAGTTATAGATTTTTAGTTTAAATCCAATTACCTCCCTGTGCTATAAAAGTTAAATGTTAAGTTTAAATCCAATTACCTCCCTCTGTGTTAAAGTAATTTGGTCAGATTAAATTTTATTACCTCCCTCTACTATAAAAGTTAAATGTTCAGATTAAATCCGATTAAATCCCTCTGTTGTTAAAGTTAAATTTTTGTATGAAATCCAGTTACCTCTCTCTGCCATGAAGTTAAATGTTTAGATTAAATCTGATAACATCCCTTTGTTGTTAAGTTAAATGTTGAAATTAAATCTGATTACCTCCCTCTGTTAAGAAGTTATATGTTCAGATTAAACCAATTTTCTTTCTCTGTTATAATGTTGTATGTTCAGATTAATTTGGAATACCTCACCCTAACATAAAAGTGATCTTCAGATAAGGGTAGATTAGTCATTCAGATTGAACCGGTTGGCCTACAATTTGCTCTTATGAGAATATTTTAGAATAAATTTCTAATTTTAGGATCAGCAGGGCAATTTTTAACTCATGAAGGTTTTTTTTCAAAGTGATATGGTGGCATCTCTAATCTATGAACTTCCTGTTTGGTGGAGTTTTTTCGGAGCATGTTCAGGCTGAAACTTCACTCCTTAACTTGACTTCCCTGGTTTTGTACATTTTAAAAGCCTTTTACTAAGATCTGTGTGGAGACAGAAAGTTTTAATTTTTCCTCAAAGATTGGTGATTTATTTTTTCTGTGTTTCTGATAAACTAAATTTTAGTGATAAATGAACTTTGTCTGTCCTCCAAACTCTGAGAACAGACTATTTCTTTGTTTCTTAAACTTTTTCTGTCTCAACACAACATGCAATCTTTCATGGTACTTTGTACAGTTCAGTTTTACAGTATTTTTGAAAAAAAAAGATAAATATTGAGGTTTAAAAGCATTTTGTCTCAATGGCTTTTTATTTATTTTAGCTGGAAATGTTTACAGATAGAGATAAAACCTTAAAACTCTTTAATTCTTTATTAAGTGTCAGGCAAATCATCAATATCAACATACAAAACTACTTAAAAATATTATTTAAATTATACTGTAATCACATTGAAATTTTCACCTTTTATTTATTTTAGTCTCTTTGTAAAGACAAACTTTTTTTTTTAAAAACACAGTCAAATTCATTATTTGAACGACCCAAAAACTGTCAGACTAACAAACGTTATTCCATCTATCAATGTATCTGTTCATCTGTCTACTCTAACACCATCCATTCATTTATTCACACATCCATCGATCCATCCATCAATTCATCCATTGGTATTTTCAGTCATCTTTGTCTTTTTGTTCATTAAAACAAATTCTGGTTGATTTAAATTTTTTTGTTTATTTTGTTTTTTTCCGATATTAAAAAAACAGAATTGGTTTTATTTTGAAGGGGACATGGAGAAAACTGCAGGAACAAGCACAATCCAATGTTTAGCTGTTGTTTATCCAGTTTTATTTTAAAAATAATTTCGGATCCCTTCCTTTTACAAAAGGTAATTCACAGAATTTGTAATTGAAGAATAAGAAGAGGAAATGCTCATTGGCCAAAGTTCCTGTGTTCAGTAAGTTTTGTTTTACCTATGGTTGGTCTGTGAAGTAAAACTGAGTGAGGTCCTGTTAAGACTGTGGCCACCCTCTGGGTGGCCCCTAATCTGTCATGAGTGTATGAAATGAATGTATAAGTGCAACGGAGTGATTGATGTGACCAGCCTCGAGAGCATCGCTGATTGGTGCAGAGCAGAAGTCCTTGCCAATCACGGAGTAGTACGCTGCATAGAGATTTTAAAATTCATTCTATTAGCCTTACTACCTCTGTATAGCTGTGTGTATTGTTCCTCTGTGAAGCACTCATTTAAATTAGGCCTCAGATATTTACACTCACTGTAAGGGTTATTCTGTGTTATGCTCATTAGGTTAGGGGTGCTGTTCGTTTTTAATTTTTGTTTGATTGGAGGAGTTTTGGAGGGTTGGAGGGTTTTATTTCAATCTTTGTTTTAGAAAGAGCAGTGTCTCTGTTGACGCCAGGTTAGGGGTTCTTTTGGTTTTCCTTATTTGATGATTTGGACGGCACTTATTACCATTAATAAATAACAATTAATACCACTTAGTAACTGGTTTTATGTTGCTTCCCTCTCCCCTTGATGAGTTGGGATGCAACAGGGGAAGGAGCTTTATCAGCAGATTCTGGGTGCTAAACTTAGACCCCAAAATACTTTCTCAATTTGAGTGTTAGGACTGTAAACCAGCTAGTTTCCACTGCATCGGGTTTTAGTGTTCATTCTCTTGAACACAGATGTTTAAGAATTTCAATGAAAGGGAACTTTGAGGTTAGAGGACAATATAAAAGATGACACTGGGTTGGTGAAGTCTGGGGTAATTTTGACATTTATTAGGTTTTATTCAGTAAACATCTTGTTAAAATCAAACACAAGCAGTAAGTGTAACAACAAGAACTCACGTTAATGTTGGCCTAAAATATATTGCTCCAAGTCTTTCTTTGTCTTTTTTGATTTTTCAGTTTAATTTCCAAATACTTTACAAAAAGGGATTTCCCACCACAGTCAAAAATAGCAGATTTAAAACTTCTTTGTTGTTTTATTTACAAAGGTTAAAACTAGTATTTAATTCTAATCTTAGCTGACTTAGAAAGAACTGAGGCATTTAGTGTTTTACAGACACTACAAAATTATTTTAACACAAAAAACTCAAAGTTTTTTTCATTCAATTAATTTTATTCATGATCATTTTAAGACAATTGGAATGATAGAAAGCTTCTGTGCCAAAAATCTGTTTTATTTTTTTATTAAACTTGTGATTTCTTGTATTCTCAGCAAAATAAAGTAATCTCTGACTCCACAGGGAGTTCATTTGAAGTATTATATTATATTATATTATATATATTGTATTGTATTATATTATATTATACTTATCGCAGGAACACCTGAGACAAACACATAAACACAAACATTTATTGACCACCTCTTAACAATAAAAACTCTAAGCACATTTTTAGTTGTAGTTTTTATTCTTTCAGAGGAATAAAAACAGATTTTCTTATAAGCTTAAAGTGACACAGAGTTCACAGACAATTTAAATCACACTATATTTTTATATTTCATGTTAAAAAATTTCTTTAGACTTTGTCAAAGACTTTCACATTTTACTTCATGGATCAGATTTGTACGGAAGCACATTGCATTTACTAGATAAAAAATTCAAACACCTTATCTTGTAATTACGAGATCTTTTCTTGCAATTATGAGAATAGGTGTCTGATTCAAGACGAGGAAAGATGCCACATTGGCCGCTGTTTTACTCAGACCAGAGAGAGGATTTACAGACATTTCCCTTTTCTTAGATCTTTTCTTATAATAACAAGATCAGGATCTCGTAATTACAAGATCGTTTGTTGAATTTTTTAATTATCCAGTGAATGCGATGCACTTTCGTAGGTTTGTGTTTCTAACTATAAAAAATGTTAAAAATGAAAATTGAAACCTTGTAAACAATTGTGTTATATTATTGGTTCACTCATTTATAATGAGCACATGTTTATTAACTTTTTACCAAAACATAACCGCAGTCTGTTAAATCTGTGAGTTAAATCAAAATAAAATAAATGTTAAAATTTGGATTTGATGCTGGACTTTCAGGTAGCATTTCACCATCTGTTTTTCTATTTTTACATCTAGATAAATGTGGATGAAAATATGATCTTTAGTTGATAACAGAAGTTGCAGACACTGTTGATGAACTGGAGTTCAATTTCCTAAAAAACAAAAAAAAGGAAAATATCAGAGACTGTGAATTCAAAAGGGGTCAGAGTGGATTAATTAGAAAACTGAAAAAATGTATTTTATAAACGTAATTGTGAATTGTTTATTTAATTAGTTCCAATCATCAAGCTGTGACAAATACTTGATACTGATTAGTCCAAATCTCATTACAACAGTGAGTTATTTAGAATAGCAAGAGCAACTCTAGATACACCTGACCACAGTTCTCATTAAATTACTCCAACAATGTTCATGAAGTGTAATTTGCCTCTTTTTTAAAGGTGTGTCAGAGTATTAAAGCTCTGTAAAGGAGAACTGAACAAAGACAGAAATATCAACTGAAATATTCCTGCAGATGACTTGTTCACTTAATCTAAAGGAAATTAATAAAAAAGCTCCCTTCAAAAGTCTGCTTGTTTCTATTACCTGCGTCATCCATCCAAATAGAAAAAAAACATTTATTATGTGTAGAGAATGGACTTACCTTTGCACATCGCTAAGCAGGTCGTTCACCCATTCCATTTTCGGATTAACACAAACTCTAGAGCCATTCCTCCTCGTCACTCTGAAATACAAACAAACAAATAAGGAAATTAGCCCTATTAAACATCAGCGACAAAATCTGGTATCAACGAAAGAATAACCCAAAGACACCTGTGTCACAGGTGAAATAACCAGAGTCACAGGGGTATAAATCAGAGTCAGAGGTGAGTTGACCAAAGTCACGGGAGAGTAAACCAGGATCAAAGATGAGTTAATCATAATCACAGTTGAGTTAATCAGAGTCACAGATCACTTGATTAGATTCGCAGGAGTTAACCTAAGTAACATGAGTTAATCACAGTCACAGATCACTTAGTCAGAGTCACAGGTGAGTAAAAAAGAGTCACGGTTGAGCTAACCAGAGTCACAGGTAATTAAAAAAGTCACGGGTGAGTTGATCAAAGTCACAGGTTAGTAAATCTGATTCTCAACTGAGTTGTTCAGGATCATTGATCACTTAACAGAATCACAGATGAGTTAACCAGAGTCACATGTGAGTCAATCAGAGTAACGTATCAATTAATTGGAATGAGATGTGAGTTTACCCGAGACACAGGTGAGTTAATCAGAGTCTTGGGTGAGGTAACCAGGTAAGGAAATCAGATCACAGGTGAGTTAATCAGAGTCACATGTGATTAAACAGAGTAATGGGTGATCTAATAAGAGTCACATGTAATTTAATCAGTCATGGGAGATTTAAACAGAGTCACAGGTTAGTTAGTCAGAGTCACAGGTGAACTTTTTAGTTATTTTGTAACAGATGGTATTGAGATGTTCTTTTACCCAGATGTTCTCCTTAGTGATAATTTCAGGCATGGACTAGGTGAATTCGAGTTAGCTTCACTGTATCAATCAATCAATCAATCAACTTTATTTCTATAGCACATTTAAAAGAACCACAAGGGTAGCCAAAGTGCTGTACAGTGACACATAAAAACAAATAAAACAATCAAAGAACAAGATAAAGCGAGCAGAAATACAGAAATGCAAAAGAATAAATAAGTGTATAAATAAGGAGGCTCACGGCAAGTGCTAAGATGATAAAAAACAAATTAACACTACAATGTACTAAAAGCCAATGAGTAAAAGTGCGTTTTTAAAAGGGATTTAAAAACAGGAAATGAGGAGGCCTGTCTAATTTTCAAGGGCAACTCATTCCAGAGCTTAGGGGCAGCAGCGGCAAATGCTCTGTCCCCTCTGAGCTTCAGCCTTGTACTGGGGACGGTCAGTAAAAGCTGATCAGCTGATCTTAGGGGTCGGGGTGGGCAATAAGGCTGGAGCATCTCAGAAATATAGGGTGGAGCAAGGTTGTTCAGGCCCTTAAAAACAAATACTAAAAGCTTAAAATGAATTCTGTACTGAACAGGGAGCCAGTGTAAGGACGCCAGGATGGGGGTGATGTGCTCATGCCTGCGGGTCTGTGTCAGGAGACGTGCAGCAGAGTTCTGCACAAGCTGCAGGCGGGCAAGGGAAGCCTGGCTAATCCCTAAGTACAAGGAGTTGCAGTAATCAAGATGGGTAGTGATAAAAGCATGGATTAATTTTTCCAGGTCAGGTCTTGATAAAATGGGCTTCACCTTCACTATTTGGCGTAGCTGATAAAAACTTTTTTGTACCACCCCGCTGATCTGCTTCTCAAATTTAAAATCAGGGTCAAACTTAACACCCAGATTAGTGACGACCTCTTTAAGGTAGGGTGAGAGGGAGCCTAGCTCGATGTTGGGGGGGTGGCCGCCACTTGGTCCAAACAACATTACTTCAGTCTTGTTCTCATTAAGACTGAGGAAGTTAAAAGAAAGCCAGGCTTTAACGTCCTTAAGACAGTCAGTGAGTTGTTGGACTGAGTCGGAGTTGTTCTGTGCTAGTGGAAGATAGATCTGACAATCATCGGCATAAAAATGAAAGGATATGTCATGTTTCCTAAAAACAGAACCAAGGGGGAGTAGATAAAAGGCAAATAAAAGAGGGCCGAGGATTGAGCCCTGAGTTACCCCATGTGGAAGAGGAGCTGTTGAGGATGCAGAGTTGTCAATTTGAACTGTAGCAGCTAATTTTCTTAATCTGTTTATACCTCCACCAGCTCTATGAAACTTTCTCTACCTGAGCTTTCTGATTTTGACATCCTCCTCTCTGAGAGCAGAAACACATTGAAAGCAAAGCGGACACAGTCAAATATTTAAACAATCTTGAGTCCTTACATTTAAGGAGTAACACATTGTATGAAGACCTTTTTGCCGTTTTAAAGACTCACAGTAAAGATATAAGTTTATCTGCTTTGTAATAAACTTAAATTTTGTAACTTTGCATATCATTTTAAAATTAAACATAAATATAATCTGAATAATTGAAATACTTTTGGATTTGCTTAGAAATACCTGAATACCTGTTTGGCTTAGTGGTTGATTTATGCACCCCATATACAGGGGCTGTAAACGTTAGAGTGGGTGGCCGGGGTTTGATAACCTGCCGTCCTTGCCTGCATGCCTTTTTCCTCTCTCTCTCTCTCTCTCTCTCTCTCTCTGTCTGTTTCTCTTTTCTCTCCTAATTATTACTCTCTCCACCCCCCACCCCCCACTGTAAAGGCACAAAATAATAAATGTGAAAAAGAAACCCCTGTCTGTATTTGTTTTTATAGACTCACATGATCTCGGTCCAGCGACACTGTCCTGAAGCTGGAATCACCTCGATTCTCTTGATGACCCGTAAAGGAATGGGGATAGACAACGTCTGCCTGCAGCTGCATCCCTGCCTGGGAAAAGCTGTAAAATTTCAAATTAAAATACATAATATTACAAATTAAAACAAATAATATTTAATCATTTCTCAGTCTGTGCAGGTGAATATCAGCTGAAGTTTCAATGTTGACTTGTCATTAATCTGCCTTTTGCATTGTTTTTACAAAAAAAAACTACCCAGACAACAACAACAACAACAACAACAACAACAACAATAACAATAATAATAATACTACTACTAATAATAATAATAACGATTATCATCATCATCATCATCATCATAGAAAGTCTTTACCTTGCAGACTGGCAATGCAGCAGAGAGTCAGAGCAGCCAGCAGGAGCAGAGGCTTAGTCATGATGTGAGTATTAAGTACGATGTTCAGCAGCGATATGAGGATGTGAGAGTGATGACACAGAAACAAAAGAGTCAGTCTTTATAAAGCAAAAAAAAAGGAAGTCTGTTAGAAAACTTTCTGTATTTTTCCTCTCTACACTCATCAAAATGCAAATACTGTGGTGAGTTTATTTATTTCTGAGTGTTCATGGGGTGATGCTAAAATGGAGAAAAGATTGGTGTTCCCCTCCTTAAGTCCATCTTTTGTCAATCTTTGCCAACATACTGACTTGTTTTGTGCACTAACTGTATATACTGTATTTTTTGATGCACTGACTGATGGTAATCTGAAGACAACATTTTCTGGGGATTTTTAGTCGTTAAAAATGGACTTTGTGGGACTCAAAGGTTTAAGTGAATTATACAACTACACAACCCAGAAATAAATACGCTCTGATGCGTATTCATTTATCTGACAAAATTCATCCAACAAATTCATTTTTCACACACACGCACGCACACACACACACACACACACACACACACACACCTAACATACTTATACCACATCACGTGTGTCACTATTCAGTCAGAACAAACATGCAAGAATAATTTTAAGAAAATCATCTATTGTGGTAAAGAAATATGCAGTCACCTATTTTTATTAAATTGTCTTTATACTCTGTGACATTATTGCTAGAGGATTACAGAAATGACAGGTGGAGAGAAAAAAAGAGTATATGGGTGGGAGTTGTGCCACTAGAAACTGAAATTAAATAATCATATTGAATTTGAGCAGCATGTTTGAAATTAAAATAAACCTATTTAAAAATTCAACATGATATTTTCCTTAAATTCAAAAATAAAAAAAAATATTTAAATTCACACAATTTTGATTCAGTTTCACAATTCAATTTCAGTTCAGTATGGCAATAACAATCACCATAACCCTGCATCCTCTTTAGTTGTTTTATATATATACATATATATATATATATATATTCTTGATGTGATCATATATATATATATATATATATGATCACATCAAGAATCTAAATGTGTATAAACATTTATTTATACATATCGTGTGTTTTTTAAATTACACAATGCCACCCAGGCCACTGCAGGTGGCTGTTCTTGCAAGGCAAGTGACAGAGCGAGCAAGGCAGAGTATTTTTTTTTTTTTTATGATATTACAATACAAGAGATGTACGGGAGAATAGTAATACTGGAGGACGGCGGGAAAGAGGGGTAAAATACAATAGTTTCCCAGCCAAAATGGGAACTTCACAGCTATGCTCTGAAATGTTTGTCTTGTGTCATTCCTACATGTTTGATGTTTGCAAAAACACGTAAAAATCTGTTTAGTATTCAGCGAGTTATAACTGATTAAATGTACTGACATGTCATTGTGCCTCTCAAACAGATAGCACTGAGCAGAGAGGGTGACCAAGATGGTGGCCCTGTTGCATGTCGCCAACACCAATAGGAAGCAGTGGTCGATGCGATGTCTACTCCTCAATATGTCTATGCTTTGCAATGAGTGTGTCTTCGAGTGCATTCTAAAACTGGTAATGTAATCATTAAAGGGGGAGTATCCCCCTTATATTCCTTATGAACGTTGTGACGTAATGGCCATGCCATGCTAAACTGAAATTGAATTGTAAACCTGAAATAGAATTTTTTACTTTTGAATTTAAGGAAAATGGGGAGTTGAATTTTCATATAGGTTAAATACAATTTCTAGAAAAACTATTTAATGACAGACTAGACAAATTCATTGAAAAACACATCTTATTAAGTGACAGCCAATATGGATTTAGAAGTAACCGATCAACAGCAATGGCTCTAATGGAATCAGTAGAGGAAATCACCAACTCTATTGATGAACGTAAGTTTGTAGCCGGAATATCTATTGACCTTAGGAAGGCATTTGATACCGTCAATCACAAGATATTAATAGAAAAATTGGAACGGTTTGGTATTAGAGGAATAGTCTTAAAATGGGTGAGTAGCTACTTGAATGACAGAAAGCAATTTGTGAGGTTGGGTGAATCAATATCATCATGTTTGACAATTGCTTGTGGAGTCCCCCAGGGGTCAGTATTGGGGCCGAAATTATTTATCCTTTATATAAATGACATGTGTAATATATCTAAAGTACTAAAAATGGTAGTCTTTGCTGATGATACAAATATTTTCTGTTCTGGAAGCAATTTGCAGGAATTATTGAACATTGTCTCTTTGGAGTTGTGCAAGCTAAAGAGGTGGTTCGACAGAAATAAACTTTCATTAAACTTGTCTAAAACAAAATTTATGATATTTAATAATAATAAAATAGATAATCAAGTAAATATATATAGAGAGGGTGTTGTTATTGAAAGAGTATTCGAGAATAAATTTCTAGGGGTGATAATTGATGATAAAATTAATTGGAAACCTCATATAAAATATATACGAACAAAACTATCGAGAAGCATTTCAATTCTGAGCATAGCAAAGCACATTCTGGATTCCAACTCACTCCGCATGCTGTATTGTTCCCTTGTTTTACCTTATTTAAATTACTGTTGTGAGGTTTGGGGCAATACCCATAAATCTTCACTCCATGGATTAACTATACTTCAAAAAAGAGCTATACGAATTATACATAAGGCTGCATATCAAGACCACACCAACACACTATTCATTAAGTCAAACCTGTTAAAATTTATGGATATCATCGAATACAAAACCGCCCTGATAATGTATAAAGCTAGGTACAATCATCTCCCTGGGAATATCCAGAAAATGTTCTTTGACAGAGAGGGTGGGTACAACCTTAGGGGGAAGTTAAATCTATAAACTCTGGGTGCCCGAACAACATTGAAATCATTCTGTATCTCGATATGTGGAGTTAAACTTAGGAACAGTATAGATGTAGAGATAAAGCAATGTTCAAACATACACAAGTTCAAAAAAAGGTATAAAAAATGTATTATAATGAAGTATAAGGGGGAAGAATTACATGAACGATGATGTGTTCAATGACTGTACTGTATAGACATCTATGCATGTATGTATGTATGTATGTATGTAGGTATGTATGTATGTAAGTATGTACGTATGCACGTACAGTATATGTAACTTATTATTGAGATCACCAATTTAGTGTACAACCAAGTAATCCTTGATACGTAAGTGGTAAATTAATTTGTTAAAGTATACATATAGGTATACAGTAAGACAGTTTGTAAAGCGTTGACGCTGTGTAGTTGACAAAGGGGTAGGATCACATAAGTCCTGACTTCACCCTACTCACTTTGAACATGATCATGATATTGGCTGATTATTGCCTGTTAGGCTTGTCTTTGATTTTATAAAAATTTGTTTATTTATTATTTCCACTATCATTTTCTTTTCATAAAGCCTTGTTTTTTGTTTTGTTTTTTACTTCATCATTATTTTTATCATGTTCAAATAAAGAAATAAACTAAACTAAACTAAACTAATTTCAAAGCAGATAAATTCAGTTTCTAAGCATTCATTTTATTTTAAAATCAAATTAACTCAGTTTAAAAACATAGAATACAATTTCAACTTTAAATCAAATAAAATCAGTTTCAAAACATTACATTCAATTTTAATTCATGCATTTTAAATCCACTGTGATTATTCAATTTCAGTTTCTAGCAGCACAAATCTTAGCCCATATGTGTTACCAGACCTCGACCTGATTTATTTTTAACTATGACAGCAAATCAACCCAAAAAAAACAAAACTGAGAGTTTGTGAACATCCTATCAGTAATTGGCTCATAAACTCAATGTTTCATAATTACAGGTTTGACTTAAAGTGGAATGAAATAGTCACTTTCATTCACCCAGTCACATATAAACTGTGATTACTTGGTCTATTGCTTGTAGCAACTGACATTGTTAATGTTTTGGTGTTAAACTATTTGAATAAAAGCATTTTAAATGCTGTAATGTCACTCCAGAGGGTTTAATTTACGATCACAAAACTCCCCCTCCCCTTGATTATTAATATATTCTTTCCTGATATCAAATCTCTTATATTTATGTTTCTAATGATAAAAACAGGATTTTACAAAGTTTAGTTATAGAGATAAAAACTTAAGTTACACAGTTTTCGTAAGACAAGCTCAGAATCAGGAACAGAAAATTTTCTGAAGACACAAGTGTAGCAGGAACTATGCTTGAGCAGAGCTGGATGTCTGAGACGTCCTTGAATGCCCGTACTCACGTCCCTTTCTGGTAAGGAGTTCACCAGGGGAACTCAGAGCTTCCCCCATCCCCTGAATTAGATGCTAGTTCCAGTTCATGAAAATGAGATGTTAATTTAACTTTAGAAAGCCTAGTCAGCAAATACTAAGCTTACCTGGTTTACTTTTGAGACACACAAATAGAAGGTGGTTCAAAGGGTTCATATTTAAACACTGTTAATTTGATGATTGTTACCTTTTACATGCAACATTGTTGTCATCATTTTATATCTGTTTAAATCATATTCAAGTAAATGAGAAAAGTCAGGTCATAGCTGCCTTGGGTTAAATGGTTCATCACAGTAGTGTACATAACATTTTTTCCATTTCATTAGTACCTGTTCTGTCTTGGCCCAGAGGACACCTGGGCCCAGAGGACACCCCTCCCAAGAAAAACCAGCAAAACCATTTCAATTATAGTAAAGCAGCTGATTTAATCATCTTTAGAGGTGAGCAAAGGCAAAAACAAGCCAGAATTCTCCCAATAAACCCTTACTGACCATTCAGAAAACAAATACTCAAACTGTTTTTTATATTCATGTATCTTGACTATGACACAAAATGACCCTGATTAAAAATTGTTTTCCCCTTTTTTCTACACAGTTCTAAATAACAAAACAACTGAATTCCCTCTTTAAAATGATCTGATAATAATACATAAATCATAAAATGATAAAAAAAAATAATCTTGTATTCTTTTATCCTGGAGCATTTGGTGTGGAAGGTGTTCCAGCTTCAGGAAAGGAATGTTTTAGTGAAAGCATCTCTTCAAATAGATGTTTAAAGTTGATCATTGTCAATCAGGGAGGTCTCAAATAGGCCTCAGCATTTTTTGGAAGTTGCTGAAAGACACATCCATCTTGGACCTCAAACTGGTTGAATCATGTGACATCATTCATAATGTCCCATATCTGATGAGTAAGTTGCCCTTGCTTTTTTCATTTTGGGGCCTTGGGATGTTGTAGCTTGTCCCCCATATGGAAGTGCATGGCCTCATGAAGTTTCCGGACAGTGTGTCCTGCAAGGGGAGGGGGGCCTCTTTGGGACTGCAGATCAAGAGTCTGCATACAGGACAGAAGAAACAGCAGTTCAGTGACACGTGTTTTCAGTGTCTTATGAGAAACAAAGTCTCTATTTTTAGCACCTCTGTGCAATTCAGGAATGTAAAGACTTCAAGCCTAGCCCACTGCTTGAGACCGGCTGAAAAGCGATGGACTGCATCCATGGCATGTTGAAGGCTCAGTAGTGTTGAAGATTTCTGGCTTAGCTGAGTTGCTCCCCTTTATCAAAGCATGGGCATTTGCAGTCAGAGATGCAGCAAGAGCTAGGGCAGATGGTTTTTCATCACAAGTCAGAACCTACACAATATCAGTCATTCTATCAGATGTAGTTTTGTTTATGGAAGTCACAGAACTCCACGTCTGGGAAGAACCTAAGGTCAAGAACCTGGAACCCCAACTTAGTGGCTCAAGCACACCTTGCCTGCAGTGGCTCACTAGAGCTGTCTTTCGATTCAGGGTCTGCACACAGCTAGGTGCTATGCTAAGTGCACTGTATGCACCCTGCATGTGCACCCTGCACACCCTGTGTAAGGTGGATTGACTTTTGTGAATTGGGACAGTCTACCCTCCTCGGGACTTCCCCGCCCTCAGGCCCACGTCATGACTGACTTGGAGAAAAATGCAGAAATTTTTTTAAATTGTGAGACTGTTCATACATACATGTACAAAAAAAGAAACAGACACAAAACAATACGTACTAACAAGCATACAGGGGCAACTATATTCAACAAACAACAAAGTGACAACCAAAAAGAGGGAAGGACTTTACAGATCATTTCCACAAAATTCATCCATGATGGCGTATGTTTTTGGCAGCTTATATATATATATATATATATATATATATATATATATATATATATATATATATATACATAAAGAGAGAGAGAGAGATTTTTACACTTTTACAAAAAAGAGGAAAGTTAATGTAAAAAGGACACAGAACAACAACAAAAGGGCTAGCATAGTGAAAAATTTGACTACCCTGCATCACTAGCACAGTAATGTACATCTCAATAAGAGAAGGGTTAGTGGTAAACTACAAAGTTTGTTACTGTCCAGAGATTCTGTCATATTGACCAAGATGATCCAAAAAAGGCTGCCAAGTACTGAAACCTTGTTGAGACTGTCCATCATGCCATACCGTATTTTCCTCATGTGCAGTACACCAGTGAGGTCAGTCATCCAAGTCTTAAACTGAGGCACAGTGTCCGATTTCCAGAGATTTAATATCAGTCTCTTGGCAATGACCATTCAATACATGATAGTGCTCTGCACAGACAGACTATGATTTTGTAAGAAGGAAGAGTACCCCAACAATGCTATCACTGGGTCAGGTTTAAACACATACACATTCCAGAAAACCAACTGAATATCTCACTCCAAAAATTGTCCAAAAAATGTGGGACAGAGAGCCTTCAGCAGAGTTGCAACGATCACATAAAGGGGAAATGGAATTTTTTTTTTTGTGTAATTTAGATTTTGAATAATGATCTCTGTGTGTCACTTTATATCAGATCAATTGTTTTTCTAGCATTAAAAGAATATGATTGGAGTCTGCTAAGGCTCTCCTCCCAAGCATCCTCATCTATGTTTATCCCCAGATCTTCCTTCCAGGCTCTTTTCAGGGAAAGGGTGGCAAAATTTTCTTGTTCAGAGTATATCTTTATGAAGTCTGAAACTAAATTCTTTGAATCAGGCGGGCCCACCAGAAGCTTGTAAATCCTCCTGTCTTCAGAAAGAGACTCAAAGTGTGGAACACATTGCCGAATAAAATTCCTGCTCTCAGCATTATTCTTTTCAATGGCAACCCAAGCAGGCATGTCTACTGTGTTTTCCGAACAGTAAGCTTCCTGCCAGTAAACAAGCACCCTAAAATTTGCTGCCCAGTAATAACGCAGGAAGCATGGTAATCATAAACTATATATACATAGATTGGACGCCGTCTGCCTCCTTGCTGGGTCTTCACCCAGCAAGGAGGCAGACGGCGTCCAATCACTCCGAGAACAGCACCCTCTGGTGACAGGCTGCAGTATAGGTCATAAATCCCACCTCCGTCATCAAAGTTTATGGGGCTGGGGACAAATTTTAGAAATTTATTACACAGAATATAAAATTTTCTCCTCCCAGGTTGTGATGTTGACATGTAGTTACTGTAAGACTGGTTTGTGCTCAAGTCCTCTTTTTTCTGTGCAGCTCCATTTTTAAAAGTTATTAAGGGGTTCATGTTTTCTATGATTGACACTTGATACAGCCTATGGGCGTACAAGGATTGCGTAGCTCACCAGGGGGATACACTGTTTGAGCCGAGTGTCATCACAGCAACTCTCGGCGACTCTCCCACTGAATGAGCACAATGCTGCTGGGCAAGTGGTGGAGTGCATACAATGGTACTGTGCAATGTTGGTTTCAGGAAGTGAAGAAAAAACGCGGAATTACCGAGAGCTTTTCGGCTCTTTGAGAAATTTCAGTAGAGATTGTTTTCAGACATAAAACATAAAAGCTGTTTTGAAACCACCTTCTCCAAAACTTTGGATAAAAATGACAGTTTTGAGATTGGTCTAAAATTGTAAAAATCAGAGGGGTCAAGGTCTGGCTTCTTTAAAGAGGTTGGACCACAGCATGTTTAAAACCAAGGGGAAATACTCCCTCAACTAGAGAGCTATTAATAATGGATAAAATGCTGGGCCCAACCACATTAAAAACCTCCTTGAGAAATCTAGTGGGGATAAAATCAAGCTGGTTTCACGTGGGCTAAAATATCAGATAAAAAGGGTAAGGACACCAACTCAAAACTACTAAAATAGTGCTTAACTTCCCTACTTAAGAATACAGGGAAACTGGGAGGAGTGATCTGATGCCTGATGTCCATGACCTTGTTAATAAAATGAATTAAAAACTTCTTGCAGGTGTCTTGAGAAGCATCAGTAAAATAAGAGAGGGAGGGGTTGTAAAGTGACTCTAAAACCATAAATAAAACTCTGGGGTTTGAATAATTAGCTAAACTCAAATTTGAGTAAAATGCTGCCCTTGCATTCTTAACTGCCTTCTTAACAATAAAAGTAAAGAAGAACTTTATTAATCCCCGAAGGAAAATTCAATTGTCTGTTGTCTCACATAATATGTCTCTAAAAGTTATCTACTATTTACACAAGAGTTATAAAGTCTGACGGCTGTTGGTGCAAAAGATCTTCTGAATCTTTCTGTCCTGCAGCGAAGAGAGAGGAGCTGTCCACCACCATTGGCCCTTTGGTCCATCAAGGCGCTGTGAAGTGGGTAATCCATGTTCTTAAGAATAGACTCCACCTTCCTCAGTGTACATCTCTCCACCACATCCTCCACTGAGTCTAGCTTGAGTCCTACCACAAAGGCCAGCCTTTTTCATCAGTTTGTTCAGATGCTTGATACTTCCTCCCCAGCAGACTGCAGCGTAGAACAGAACACTTGCCACCACAAACTGATAAAACATCTGCAGCATCTTACTACAGATGTCTATTGATCATAGTCTTCTCAGGCAAAAGAGGCGGCTCTGCCCCTCTCTGTAGATGAAGTCTATATTCTTAGACCAATCCAACTTATTATCAAGATGTACACCTAGGTATTTATATGATGTCACCACTTCGATGTCCACTCCACAGGTGTTCACTGGCTGAAGAGAGGGTTTGGATCAACGGAAGTCTATGGCCATCTCCTTTGTCTTTGAGGTGTTGAAGAGGAGGAGGCAGTTTTTGTGACTCCAATCACTGAGGGCTCCTATCAGATCTCTGTATTCAGCTTCTTGACCATTTCTGATACATGCAACAATAGTGGTGTCATCTGAGTATTTCAGGATGTGGCAGGACTCAGTGCTGTATTTGAAGCCTGACGTATACAGTGTGAACAGGAATAGTGCCAGCACTGTCCCTTGTGGAGCCCCTGTACTACCCATTAAGGTCCCAGAAACACAGTTCCCCAGCCTGACAAACTGTGGCCTTCCTGTCAGGTAATGTGCCATCCAGGAAACTCAGGCAGGATGTACATCTCTGTGAGCTTGTCTCTGAGTATGGAGGATTGGATGGTGTTGAATGCACTTGAAAAGTCGAAGAACATGATCCTCACATAAACCCCAGGTTCCTCCAGATGAGACAGGACATGGTGAAGCATGTAGAGGACAGCATCATCCACTCCAATGTGTTCTTTGTATACAAACTGCAGGGAATCAAGTTTAGACCTCACAAGGCGTAGAATCAGCCGCTCCAGGGTTTTTATGATGTGTGAAGTGAGGGCCACTGGTCTGTAGTCATTGAGTTCAGCAGGACATTTTGTTTTTGGTACTGGCACAATGCAGGATGTTTTCCACAGAGTAAGTACCCGCCCCAGCTGTAGACTCAGGTTGTAGTCCCTGTTTCGGTGACAGACAAGGACTGGTGCTCTAGGAGGGAGGCAGTAAGTGGTTGAGACACTTAAACGAGATGGAGGAAGAACGGGAGAAGTAATAGTGGAGATTTGTTGCAGAGAGGAAGGTGGAGTAGCAGTGGAAGTGGGTGTGACAGCAGTGTCAAATCTGTTGAAGAACAGGTTGAGTTCATCCATCCTTTTCAATATTTTGAAGAAATAGATCAATGTTGCCTTCGTTTTTAATGTCAGCAGCATATCATTTCTGGTAGAAATCAGCTGCATACTTGGAAGTATATCCTTCACCTTCACATACTTGGTTATGAATTTAAAGTGTACAGAGAGAAGACAGCTCAAAAATTCCTTTTTTTTTCTACCTTAAAAAAGTATTTGGTGTACTTTTTCTCATGTTCTAGCCACTTCCTTCGAGACCGAACAAAGGCCCCTCTGGCCTTTTCCTCATGTATTTTGTCCAATTCAAGTTGTAACCCTGAAATATCTTTCAGTTCTTCTCTTGACAAGCTTATTTTCTCTGATACTCCATCTATTCTTCTAATCATCTGATCCTCCCCTTTTTTTGCTTTAACATTTTTTCGCCAGATGCAATAGCTAACATTTTATTGTAATATTTCATTACCTCCCAATAATTTTAAAAACTGTTAAATAAATTTGCTTGCCTCTAATATTTTATCTATTATCTTTTGGACTTCACTTTGAAATAGCCAATTTTGCAATTATTTTTTATTGATCTTTATGAGAGTGATATCTAATGTCTGTCACATTGATCTTTATTGTAACAGCCTGGTGATCTGTAAAGACTGTACGTTCTATTAACACAGATTCCACCTTATCATCTATCTTAAATAATGCCATTGAACCAAGAGGTTGCTGCAAGTCTGGTCTCTGTATTTTTTGTAATTTTTGCTAGATTTTTTTTTCATATTTTTGTTGTCTTTTTGTTGGCTGCTGATGGATACTTCTGCTAGGCGAAGAGTTTACTGAAGAGAAGAGCTCCTTTCACTGAGAAAAGCAAATCTAGACAACGACATACAATTCCAGAGGACATCAGGAGGTGTTATCATGGTTGCTGTGCTGATGCAAAGGTGAAGGCAAAGCTGAATGCTAGGAGGTGGCAATATAAACCCTTTCTTCCATCAGTCATCATGGGAAACATCACCTCTCTGCCCAACAAAAGCACATACACATAACTGTCAAGGAGAAGTTGTGTTGTCCAGATATTGAACTGTTGGCAGTTGCTCTTCAGCCATATTATATTCCAAGAGAATTCAGTCATATCATAACAATACTTCTTTACATCCCACCCAAATCAACTGAAGAAATTCCATGCAATCTTGTGCATAATAGTGTTGCCAGGCTACAGATTCAACACCCGGGGGCACTAATAATGATATCAGGAGACTTTAACTATGTCACCCTCTCCGCTCACCTGACAGGATTCACAAAGTTTGTGAACTGTCCTACCAGAGAGAACAAAACCCTGGATCTGCTATATGCCAATGTCAAGAAGCCTACAGAGCCACTGCCTTACCACCACTGGGCAAGTCAGATCATAACTTGATCTATCTGCAAACCTGTTACAGACCTTGCGTGTTGAGGCAGCCTGTGACCAAAGTCAAAATCAGAAGATGGAAACCTCAAGCTAGTGAAGCTCTAAGAGACTGTTTCAAATCAACAGACTGAAATGTGCTGCTGGAAACAGATGTGGACACTATGAACATTGACAGACAAGTTGACTGCTTTACTGGATGTATCAACTCTGGTAGAAACACAGTTATACCGACAAAGACTGTTCGCTGTTTCCCCAACAACAAACCCTGGATCACAAGTGACATAAAAGCAATCCTTAACTAGAAGAAGAAAGCTTTCAAAGATGGTGACAAAGAACAAGTCAAACAAGTGCAACAAGTGCAAGAAGAGTTGAAGAGGCGACTGAAGATGGCAAAGCTGGAATACAAAAAGAAGATAGAGAGGAATCTACAACACAGCAACATCCGTGAAGTGTGGAGAGGAAACAGTACCATCTCTGGACACAGATATAAAAAGAAAAAACAGCCAGTGGAGGGTGATCTGGAGAGAGCTGATGAACTCAACCTGTTCTTCGACAGATTTGACACTACTGTCACACCCACTTCCCTCCTAGAGCACCAGTCCTTGTCTGTCACAGAAACAGGGGTGAAGTTGGAGCTTGGAAGACTTTGGAAGGCAGCTGGTCCAGATGGTGTGTGTCCACAGCTGCTTAGAGACAGTGATATTAACCCTTTTCCGAAAACCCTAACCCTAACCCTAACCCCGGAATCCAATACCTGGATATTACCTAAAGGAAGCCCTAAGAACCCAAAATAAATTTTTTTTAATTCTTCTTTTTTTTTTCAAACGAACTCCAAAAGGTTTGAAACATGCTCCTCAAAGGTTCTTGGAGAGTGATATTAACCCTTATCCTAAAACCTTAACCCTAACCCTAGCCCCGTAACCCAATACCGAGGTATTACCTAAAGAAAGCCCTAAATAACCCAAAAAATGTTTTTGAAATTTTTCATTTTTTTTTTTGGTCTAATTAACTCCAAAAGGTTTGAAAGATGTTCCTAAAAAGGTCTTGGACAGTGATTTTAACCCTAACCCTAAAAACCTTAAACCTTACTCTAGCTGCTAAACCCAATATCCGGGTATTACCTATAGGAAGCCATAACACCCAAAACATTTTTTTTTTCATTTTTCGTTTTTTATGGTCTAATTAACTCCAAAAGGTTGGAAAAGAGTTCCTAAAAAGGTCTTGGACAGTGATTTTAACCCGAACCCCAAAAACCTTAAACCTTACCCTTTACCCGTAACCCAATACCTGGGTATTACCTTAAGAAAACCCTAACACCCCAAACATTTTTTTTATTCATTTTTCGGTTTTTTTGGACTAACTAACTCCAAAAGCTCTGAAACATGTAACAAAGAGGTCTTGGAAAGTGATTTTAACCCTAACCCCAAAAACCTTAAACATTACCCCTGTAACCCAATACCCGGGTATTACCTTTAGGAGGCCCTAACATCCCAAACATTTTTTTTTTTTTCATTTTTCATTTTTTTTGGTCTAATTAACTCCAAAAGGTTTGAAAAATGTTCCTAAAAAGGTCTTGGACAGTGATTTTAACCCTAACCCCAAAAACCTTAAACCTTACTCTAGCTGCTAAACCCAATACCCGGGTAGTACCTATAGGAAGCCCTAACACCCAAAACATTTTTTTTTCATTTTTCGTTTTTTTTTTGTCTAATTAACTCCAAAAGGTTTGAAAAATGTTCCTTAAAAGGTCTTGGACAGTGATTTTAACCCTAACCCCAAAAACCTTAAACCTGACCCTAGCCCCATAACCCAATACCCCGGGTATTATTAATAGGAAGCCCTAACTCCCCAAACTTTTCTTTTTTCATGTTTTTTTTTTTGGACTAACTGACTGCAAAAGGTCTGAAACATGTAACAAAAAGGTCTGGGAGAGTAATTTTAACCCTAACCCCAAAAACCTTAATCCTTACCCTAGCCCTGTATCCCAATACCCAGGTAGTGCCTATAGGAAACCCCGCCACCCCAAACATTTTTTTTTCTTTTTTCATTTTTTTTGGTCTAATTAACTCCAAAAGGTTTGAAACATGTTCCTAAAAATGTCTTGGACAGTGATTTTAACCCTCACCCCAAAAACCTTAAACCTTACCCTAGCCCCTTAACTTCATACCTGTGTATTATCTAAAAGAAGCCCTAAAACCCCAAACATTTTTTTTTTCATGTTTTTTTTTTTTTTTTGACTAACTATCTCCAAAAGGTCTGAAACTTGTAACAAAAAGGTCTGGGACAGTTATTTTAACCCTAACCCCAAAAACCTTAATCCTTACCCCCGTAACCCAATAACCGGGTATTGCCTTAAGGAAGCCCTAACATGACAAACATTTTTTTTTTCATTTTTCATTTTTTTTTGGTCTAATTAACTCCAAAAGGTTTGAAAGATGTTCCTAAAAAGGTCTTGGACAGTGATTTTAACCCTAACCCCAAAAACCTTAAACCTTACTCTAGCTGCTAAACCCAATACCCGGGTATTACCTATAGGAAGCCCTAACACCCAAAACATTTTTTTTTTAATTTTCGTTTTTTATGCTCTAATTAACTCCAAAAGGTCTGAAACATGTAACAAAAAGGTCTTGGACAGTGATTTTAACCCCCAAAACCTTAATCCTTACCCTAGCCTTGTATCCCAATACCCGGGTATTACCTATAGGAAGCCCTAACATTTTTTTTTTCTTTGTTCATTTTTTTGGACTAATTAACTCCAAAAGGTTTGTTCCTAAAAATGTCTTGGACAGTGATTTTAACCCTCACCCCAAAAACCTTAAACCTTACCCTAGCCCCGTAACTTCATACCCGTGTATTATCTAAAAGAAGCCCTAAAACCCCAAACATTTTTTTTTTCATGTTTTTTTTTTTTTTTTTTGGACAAACTTTCTCCAAAAGGTCTGAAACTTGTAACAAAAAGGTCTGGGACAGTTAATTTAACCCTAACCCCAAAAACCTTAATCCTTACCCTTGCCCCGAAAGCCAATACCCGGGTATTATTAATAGGAAGCCCTAACACCCCAAACTTTTCTTTTTTCTTTTTTTTTTTTTTTTTGGACTAACTAACTCCAAAAGGTCTGAAACATGTAACAAACAGGTCTTGGACAGTGATTTTAACCCTTACCCCAAAAAACCTTAATCCTTACCCTAGCCCTGTATCCCAATACCTAAAGGAAGCCCTAACACCCAAAACATTTTTTCTTTCATTTTTCGTTTTTTTTTTGTCTAATTAACTCCAAAGGTTTGAAACATGTTCCTAAAATGGTCTTGGACAGTGATTTTAACCCTAACCCCAAAAACCTTAAACCTTACCCTAGCCCCGTAACTTAATACCCGGGTATTACCTATAGGAAGCCCTATCACCCCAAACATTTTTTCTTTCATTTTTCGTTTTTTTTTTTTGTCTAATTAACTCCAAAGGTTTGAAACATGTTCCTAAAAAGATCTTGGAAAGTGATTTTAACCCTAACCCCAAAAACCTTTAACCTTACCCTAGCCCTGTAACTTAATACCCGGGTATTATCTAAAAGAAGCCCTAACACCCCAAACATTTTTTTTTCTTTTTTTTTTTTTTTGACTAACTAACTCCAAAAGGTTTGAAAGATGTTCCTAAAAAGGTCTTGGACAGTGATTTTAACCCTCACCCCAAAAACCTTAAACCTTACCCTTCATACCCGTGTATTATCTAAAAGAAGCCCTAAAACCCCAAACATTTTTTTTTTCATGTTTTTTTTTTTTTTTTTGACTAACTATCTCCAAAAGGTCTGAAACTTGTAACAAAAAGGTCTGGGACAGTTATTTTAACCCTAACCCCAAAAACCTTAATCCTTACCCCCGTAACCCAATAACCGGGTATTGCCTTAAGGAAGCCCTAACATGACAAACATTTTTTTTTTCATTTTTCATTTTTTTGGTCTAATTAACTCCAAAAGGTTTGTTCCTAAAAATGTCTTGGACAGTGATTTTAACCCCCAAAACCTTAATCCTTACCCTAGCCTTGTATCCCAATACCCGGGTATTACCTATAGGAAGCCCTAACATCCCAAACATTTTTTTTTTCTTTGTTCATTTTTTTGGACTAATTAACTCCAAAAGGTTTGTTCCTAAAAATGTCTTGGACAGTGATTTTAACCCTCACCCCAAAAACCTTAAACCTTACCCTAGCCCCGTAACTTCATACCCGTGTATTATCTAAAAGAAGCCCTAAAACCCCAAACATTTTTTTTTTCATGTTTTTTTTTTTTTTTTTTGGACAAACTTTCTCCAAAAGGTCTGAAACTTGTAACAAAAAGGTCTGGGACAGTTATTTTAACCCTAACCCCAAAAACCTTAATCCTTACCCCCGTAACCCAATAACCGGGTATTGCCTTAAGGAAGTCCTAACATGACAAACATTTTTTTTTTCATTTTTCTTTTTTTTTTGGTCTAATTAACTCCAAAAGGTTTGAAAGATGTTCCTAAAAAGGTCTTGGACAGTGATTTTAACCCTAACCCCAGAAACCTTAAACCTAACCCTAGCCCCAAAAGCCAATACCCGGGTATTATTAATAGGAAGCCCTAACACCCCAAACTTTTCTTTTTTCTTTTCTTTTTTTTTTTGGACTAACTAACTCCAAAAGGTCTGAAACATGTAACAAACAGGTCTTGGACAGTGATTTTAACCCTTACCCCAAAAACCTTAATCCTTACCCTAGCCCTGTATCCCAATACCTAAAGGAAGCCCTAACACCCAAAACATTTTTTTTTTCATTTTTTGTTTTTTTTTGTCTAATTAACTCCAAAAGGTTTGCAACATGTTCCTAAAATGGTCTTGGACAGTGATTTTAACCCTAACCCCAAAAACCTTAAACCTTACCCTAGCCCCGTAACTTAATACCCGGGTATTACCTATAGGAAGCCCTATCACCCCAAACATTTTTTCTTTCATTTTTCGTTTTTTTTTTGGTCTAATTAACTCCAAAAGGTTTGAAACATGTTCCTAAAAAGATCTTGGAAAGTGATTTTGACCCTAACCCCAAAAACCTTTAACCTTACCCTCGCCCTGTAACTTAATTCCCGGGTATTATCTAAAAGAAGCCCTAACACCCCAAACATTTTTTTTTGACTAACTAACTCCAAAAGGTTTGAAAGATGTTCCTAAAAATGTCTTGGACAGTGATTTTAACCCTCACCCCAAAAACCTTAAACCTTACCCTAGCCCCTTAACTTCATACCCGTGTATTATCTAAAAGAAGCCCTAAAACCCCAAACATTTTTTTTTTCATGTTTTTTTTTTTTTTTTGGACAAACTTTCTCCAAAAGGTCTGAAACTTGTAACAAAAAGGTCTGGGACAGTGATTTTAACCCTAACCCCAAAAACCTTAAACCTTACTCTAGCTGCTAAACCCAATACCCGGGTAGTACCTATAGGAAGCCCTAACACCCAAAACATTTTTTTTTCATTTTTCGTTTTTTTTTTGTCTAATTAACTCCAAAAGGTTTGAAAAATGTTCCTTAAAAGGTCTTGGACAGTGATTTTAACCCTAACCCCAAAAACCTTAAACCTGACCCTAGCCCCATAACCCAATACCCCGGGTATTATTAATAGGAAGCCCTAACTCCCCAAACTTTTCTTTTTTCTTTTTTTTTTTTTTTTGGACTAACTGACTGCAAAAGGTCTGAAACATGTAACAAAAAGGTCTGGGAGAGTAATTTTAACCCTAACCCCAAAAACCTTAATCCTTACCCTAGCCCTGTATCCCAATACCCAGGTAGTGCCTATAGGAAACCCCGCCACCCCAAACATTTTTTTTTCTTTTTTCATTTTTTTTGGTCTAATTAACTCCAAAAGGTTTGAAACATGTTCCTAAAAATGTCTTGGACAGTGATTTTAACCCTCACCCCAAAAACCTTAAACCTTACCCTAGCCCCTTAACTTCATACCTGTGTATTATCTAAAAGAAGCCCTAAAACCCCAAACATTTTTTTTTTCATGTTTTTTTTTTTTTTTTGACTAACTATCTCCAAAAGGTCTGAAACTTGTAACAAAAAGGTCTGGGACAGTTATTTTAACCCTAACCCCAAAAACCTTAATCCTTACCCCCGTAACCCAATAACCGGGTATTGCCTTAAGGAAGCCCTAACATGACAAACATTTTTTTTTTCATTTTTCATTTTTTTTTGGTCTAATTAACTCCAAAAGGTTTGAAAGATGTTCCTAAAAAGGTCTTGGACAGTGATTTTAACCCTAACCCCAAAAACCTTAAACCTTACTCTAGCTGCTAAACCCAATACCCGGGTATTACCTATAGGAAGCCCTAACACCCAAAACATTTTTTTTTTTCATTTTTCGTTTTTTTTGCTCTAATTAACTCCAAAAGGTCTGAAACATGTAACAAAAAGGTCTTGGACAGTGATTTTAACCCTAACCCCCAAAACCTTAATCCTTACCCTAGCCCTGTATCCCAATACCCGGGTATTACCTATAGGAAGCCCTAACATCCCAAACATTTTTTTTTTCTTTTTTCATTTTTTTGGTCTAATTAACTCCAAAAGGTTTGTTCCTAAAAATGTCTTGGACAGTGATTTTAACCATCACCCCAAAAACCTTAAACCTTACCCTAGCCCCGTAACTTCATACCCGTGTATTATCTAAAAGAAGCCCTAAAACCCCAAAACATTTTTTTTTTCACGTTTTTTTTTTTTTTTTTTGGACTAACTGACTCCAAAAGGTCTGAAACATGTAACAAACAGGTCTTGGACAGTGATTTTAACCCTTACCCCAAAAACCTTAATCCTTACCCTAGCCCTGTATCCCAATACCTAAAGGAAGCCCTAACACCCAAAACATTTTTTTTTTCATTTTTCGTTTTTTTTTGTCTAATTAACTCCAAAAGGTTTGCAACATGTTCCTAAAATGGTCTTGGACAGTGATTTTAACCCTAACCCCAAAAACCTTAAACCTAACCCTAGCCCCGTAACTTAATACCCGGGTATTATCTAAAAGAAGCCCTAACACCCCAAACATTTTTTTTTCTTTTTTTTTTTGACTAACTAACTCCAAAAGGTTTGAAAGATGTTCCTAAAAAGGTCTTGGACAGTGATTTTAACCATCACCCCAAAAACCTTAAACCTTACCCTAGCCCCGTAGCCCAATACCCGGGTATTATTAATAGGAAGCCCTGACACCCCAAACTTTTATTTTTTCATGTTTTTGGACTAACTAACTCCAAAAGGTCTGAAACATGTAACAAAAAGGTCTTGGACATTGATTTTAACCCTAACCCCAAAAACCTTAATCCTTACCCTAGCCCTGTATCCCAATACCCGGGTATTACCTAAAGGAAGCCCTAACACCCCAAACATTTTTTTTTTCATTTTTCGTTTTTTTTTTTTTGTCTAATTAACTCCACAATGTTTAAAACATGTTCCTAAAAAGGTTTTGGACAGTGATTTTAACCCTAACCCCAAAAACCTTAATCCTTACCCTAGCCCTGTATCCCAATACCCGGGTATTACCTATAGGAAGCCCTAACACCCAAAACATTTTTTTTTTCATTTTTCGTTTTTTTTGGTCTAATTAACTCCAAAAGGTTTGAAACATGTTCCTACACAGGTTTTGGAAAGTGATTTTAACCCTAACGCCCAAAACCTTAAACCTTACCATAGCCCCATAACCTAATACCCGGGTATTACATTCAGGAAGCCCGAACACCCCAAATATTTTTTTTTCATTTTACTTTTTTTTTGGTGTAACTTACTCCAAAAGGTCTGAAACTTGTTCCTACAAAGGTTTTGGACAGTGATTTTAACCCTAATGCCAAAAACCTTAAACCTTACCCTAGCCCCATAACCTAATACCCGGGTAATACCTTCAGGAAGCCCGAACACCCTAAATATATTTTTTTTCATTTTTCGTTTTTTTTTTGGTCTAACTAACTCCAAAAGGTTGGAAAAGAGTTCCTTAAAAGGTTTTGGACAGTGATTTTAACCCTGACGCCAAAAACCTTAAACCTTACTCTAGCCCCATAATCGAATACCCGGGTATTACCTTCAGGAAGCCCGAACACCCCAAACATATTTTTTTTATTTTTCATTTTTTCTTGGTCTAACTAACTCCAAAAGGTTGGAAAAGAGTTCCTACACAGGTTTTGGAAAGTGATTTTAACCCTAACGCCCAAAACCTTAAACCTTACCATAGCCCCATAACCTAATACCCGGGTATTACCTTCAGGAAGCCCGAACACCCCAAATATTTTTTTTTCATTTTACATTTTTTTTTTGGTGTAACTAACTCCACAAGGTCTGAAACTTGTTCCTACAAAGGTTTTGGACAGTGATTTTAACGCTAATGCCAAAAGCCTTAAACCTTACCCTAGCCCCGTAACCTAGTATTACCTTAAGGAAGCCTTAACACCCCAAAAAATGTTTATTTCATTTTTCATTTTTTTTTGGTCTAACGAACTCAAAAAGGTTGGAAAAGAGAACCTTCAAAGGTTTTGGACAGTGATTTTCACCCTAATGCCAAAAACCTTAAACCTTACCCTAGCCCCGTAACCTAATACCCGGGTATTACCTTAAGGAAGCCTTAACACCCCAAACATTTTTTTTTCTTTTTTTTGAAGACTTAAAACAGGCAACTGGACTGTGTAGAGTTGAGAAGACGTTTCGCCTCTTATCCAAGAAGCTTCTTCAGTTCTTTAAGTGCTAGTGTCAGGAGCAGATATTTATCTTACTGGAAGAGGGGGACAGTTAACGACTAGGTGGAGTTGAAAAGAATGGGTCGTAGAAACCCATCTCTGGGTGTGTGTCCCCCCAAGTCGTTAACCTGAAAGGGTCGTTAGCGACTCCTGTCATGTGACCACATGACTCATGCCACCTGGGTCATGTGGTTCCAGGTGTGAATGTTTGTGGAGCTTCCTGGGGAGAGAGCTGAGAACTGCATTGTAAGTGCCAGAGAGATTGTGCCTGAGTCCACCCCCTCTGTTCAGAGAAGGTTTCTCCAGCCTGGTAAAGATGGCTTCTTTAACTCCTCTTTCAAACCATCTTCTTCTCGAGCCAACACCTGTACATTGCTGTCCTCAAAAGAGTGACCCGTATCCTTCAAGTGAAGGTGGACAGCTGAGTCCTGACCTGAGGAAGTGGCTCTCCTGTGTTGAGCCATGCGCTTGTGAAGCGGTTGTTTAGTTTCCCCAATGTACAGGTCCGAGCATTCCTCGCTGCACTGGACAGCATATACCACATTACTCTGTTTATGTCTCGGTGTTTTGTCCTTGGGACGGACTAGCTTCTGCCTTAGTGTGTTACCAGGCTTGAAATGAACAGGAATGTGGTGTTTGCCAAAGATCCTCTTGAGTTTTTCCGACAGGCCTGCAACGTAAGGGATTACAGTGCTCTTGCGTCTCTCCTCCCTTTCCTGTTCAGTGTTATTTCTCTTTCTGTTCTTCACAAAGGCCCACTTAGGGTATCCACAGGTTGTCAGGGCATTTTTGATGTGCTTCTGTTCCTTTTCCTTACCTTCTCTCTTCGTGGGAATATTCTCAGCCCGGTGGTTGAGTGTTCTGATGACACCCAGTTTGTGCTGCAGAGGATGGTGGGAATCAAAAAGTAGATATTGATCCGTGTGTGTTGGTTTCCTGTACACTTCAACGTTGAGACACCCATCATCCTCCAAGTGTACAGCACAGTCCAAAAAGGCCAACACATTGTCCTTGACATCTTCACGGGTTTTTAACACTCTAAAATTAGCCAGCTAACCCCACTACAAACAACAAAAATTTAAATAATAAATACTTATCAATAACTGACCATCAGTGACACCAGACTAAGCTAGCAAAAAAGAACACACACACACACGTACAGATTTTCCCTTAGGACATTGATCAAATTTACATTTCTGTCTGTCTTTTAGGGAACTGTTCTCTGTTTTTAAGCTCACTTTTGATTTTTGCTATTTGCTCTTGACACTTCTTTTTTCCTTTTTTCTTCCCCTTCCCTTTTTGCAATCCACTTTTGTTCTTCTTTTGTTTTTTAATTTTTCATTGTTTTATATTATATTATTTTATTTTATTTTAGGGTTCCTGTGCTTTTGTTTTTCTTCCCCCCTCCCCTCTTTTTTTCTTAGGAAGGACTGACTCCTGAGGTTCTAATGCCAGGAAAAATGTACCTCCCTCACTCACGGTTTTATCCACAATCCTTTGCTGCAACAGGGAGATTGATTCCCAAGGCTCTCATGCCAGAAAGGAAGTACCTCACTCACTCACGGTTTTACCCACAATCCTTTGCTGTAACAGGAAGATAGATTCCTTAGGCTCTCATCCCTCAGAACTAAAATACCCACAATCCCTTGCGATTGCATACAAATTTAATGTAGCAAAACTCAATTTAAAACAAATAAACTACTTTAAAATTAACTTAAAACAACATGAAAGTTTAAAATACAACAAAGAGACATCCATTCTGGAGAACAAACATCGAGAAGAGAACACAACCATGTCTGAGAGGAACAACACAAACCATGACTCGAGCCCCACTTCTTCTCCTGTTGAAAGCACTCTTAAGAGCTGTGCACTAAAGAGCAATTCCTGTTCCTGTAATTCAGACAAAGCCCTGACCACTGGACCAAGAAGACGGACAACCGCCTCGAGGAAGACGCCGCACCTCCTTCACTACAAGCCGCCCGCCACCGATCTTCGACCCGCCGACGGCACCGAGTCCCAGCAAACCTTCCCGCGGACCGCCTATCTTCTTTCCCCCGCCGAGGACCCCGGACTTCAGACCCGCCGCCGTCGCCGCGGCTGGACAGCTGGAACCTTTTCCCCCCTCCAACAGATTTTAGACTACTGGAAAAGAAACGCCTCACATCAACAACAACATAGGACCACTAGGGTAAGTCTACAAAAAACCTCTCAAACACCTCAAAATTACTCTAAATAGTTACAGAATAGCAACTACCAAACTAGCATACAACTAAAACTTCTTAGCACCAAAACTAAATAGGACTAAAATAGCTCCAATTGGCTACAGGGCACAACACGGAAGTTGATCGACTCCGTGGGGCCTTCCTTGAATGAGGATGTCTAGTGTTAAAACGGACGAAACATCCGATGATTTCGAGGTTCACTACTGAGGACGTGTCCTGAAATTTAATGTCCAATACCAGCGCTGGGTCAATGTAATGGTTTATTTGAAGAATTTTTCAAACAAATAAGATATTCCAAAATAATTAATTAAGCACTTACCTCAACACAATCTGGTCCTCTGGTCTTCTATTTTGAGTGTTGGTTTATCCTGGTGCATGAATAAAGGTCCATAAAACCCGCACCTTTTATGGTTTACTTTAATTTCTACTCTAACATAGCATTTCAGCATTTGTCCATTTACCAAACTCGTATTTCCCACCTCTTGATCCCTGGGTCCAGTTTTTTACAGTCTCCTTTTTTCACCTTTTCGTTTTTGCCATTCTCGTATTTCCCACTTTCTAATATGGTAAACATTGTACATTCCATGTTTTATCCCAGTTTTTATTTTTTATTTCTTATTTTTAGTTCTATTTTTATTTTCCTATTAATTTCCCCCTACCTGTATATTGTACCTTTTTTGAACAAATAAAAAATGTTTTGGAACACCTATACACTCAATTTTTATTCCACCTTTTTTTCTCATTCTAATTTACTTTATAATTCAGTTTTGTGTATTTATATCACCATTTTTTTTTATTAATTAAATTTGCGATTTAAATATAATACATTTGGTTCCAGTGCAATCAAAATTACAGTTTTCCTTTGTTATACAGAAGTCAACACAATTTTCTCTCAGTTTTACTGTAATATCAATTCAATGTTGGGTATAACTTTAACAGTTCCTGTTTGTACTTTTTAACAAAATAAACAGTGTAGAAAGTGATGACATAATTTCATACAACATTCTAATTTACACCTGTAAGCAACAATTTGGGAGCTAACCTTACTTATTAAACTCAAAATTGTTTAACTCATGGATTACAACTTAAGAATAGTCCAATACCTAAATAAACTACAATTCCTACTCACTTTCTAACTCTGAAATAATAATTTACAGTGAACCCTAGGTCCTATATAATCAATATGAAAAATCTCCACTTAACTCCAAACTTATCCATCTAAAACAATGCAACCTTCTGAAAAGTCGATACTCTGGACCAATAATTCTATTTATTGATCTAAAATTAATAATATAACATAATTAAATTATGCAATTATTAATGAAATTGACACTTTTGACTCTGAAATAATAACTTCCAAATAATAATTTATAACTAACCTTTAAGATTTATTTTAGATCACAGCGTTAGGGAGTTCAGCAGAGTCTATGGCCTAGACAGGCCTGAGTGGAAGGGGTTCCAGACAGAACCGTCCACTTTTGACTCTGAATTAATAATTTCTAAATAATAATTCATGAATATTTCCAATTTAATCTAAATCATTTTTAGTTCACAGCGTTAGGGAGTTTAGCAGAGTCTATGGCCTAGACAGGCCTGGGTGGAGGGAGTTCTAGACGGAACTGTCGACTTTTGACTCTGAAATAATACTTTATCAATAACAATTTATAACTTACCTTATATATTTTATACTTCAATTTCATTACTTCCAACCATAGCTTTGCTACCTTTAACAGAGTCCAGAGTCTAGACAATCTGAAGTGTCGTATTCCTTAATGAATTTCAATTCTTCCAAATAGCCACGGTTAGCTCCCTACAGACACTAACCCTTACCCTTACCCTCACCCTCACCCTAACCCTCTAGAACCTAAATCTAACCCTAACCCTAACCCTAGCCTAACCCTAACGTTACTAACCTCTATCTTAGCTTAGTCACCCCCACCCTCTTTTTTCAAATCAGAGGATGAAAACCAACAGGTGAGGAGAGTTTCTCTGGCTAGTCACTGTGGCAAGTTCTATTCTCTCTCTATCACTAGAATCCCTGAAGAAGCAGAATGGTTGCAGTCCCAAAGACCTGTTTCTCTCTCCCCCATCCTCTGAGACTTTGCACTAATGCACCCTATAGGTAAAAATTCACCCTATTCCCTCCCTACTAATACCACCTAGTCCTTCTCAATAAGCAAAATTATTATTAATATTATTATTATTATTATTATAGGTTGGAAAAGAGATCCTACAAAGGTTTTGGACAGTGATTTTAACCCTAACGCCAAAAACCTTTAAACTGTAACCTAATACCTAAAGGAAGGTATTACCTAAAGGAAGCCCTACATCCCCCAAAGTTTATTTTTTAATTTTCGTTTTTTTTGGTCTAACTAACTTCAAAAGGTCTGAAACATGTTCCTAAAAAGGTTTTGGACAGTGATTTTAACCCTATCCCCGAAACCTAATACCCGGGTATTACCTTTAGGAAGCCTAAACACCCAAAAAAAAATTTATTTCATTTTTCGTTTTTTTTTTGACTAACTAACTCCAAAAGGTTGGAAAAGAGTTCCTACAAAGATTTTGGACAGTGATTTTAACCCTAACACAAAAAACCTTTAACCTTTACCTAGCCCCATAACCTAATATCCGGGTAATACCTTCAGGAAGCCTGAACACCCCAAATATATTTTTTTTCATTTTACATTTTTTTTGGTCTAACTAACTCCAAAAGGTCTGAAACTTGTTCCTAAAAAGGTTTTGGACAGTGATTTTAACCCTAACACAAAAAACCTTTAACCTTTACCTAGCCCCATAACCTAATATCCGGGTAATACCTTCAGGAAGCCTGAACACCCCAAATATATTTTTTTTCATTTTACATTTTTTTCGGTCTAACTAACTCCAAAAGGTCTGAAACTTGTTCCTAAAAAGGTTTTGGACAGTGATTTTAACCCTAACGCCAAAAACCTTTAACCTTTACCTAGCCCTGTAAACTAATACCCGGGTAATACCTTCAGGAAGCCCTACCACCCCAAAAAACTTCTATTTCAATTTTCTTTGGTCAAGCTAACTCCAAAAGGTTGGAAAAGAGGTCCTACAAAGGTTTGGACAGTGATTTTAACCCTAACGCCAAAAACCTTAAACCTGACCCTAGCCCCTTAACCTAATACCCGGGTATTACCTTAAGGAAGCCTTTACACCCCAAACATTCTTTTTTCATTATTCAATTTTCTTTGGTCTAACTAACTCCAAAAGGTCTGAAACATGTTCCTTAAAAAATATTGGACAGTGATTTTAACCCTAACGCCAAAAACCTTTAACCTTTACCTAGCCCTGTGACCTAATACCCGGGTATTACCTAAGGGATGCCCTAACACACCAAAAGTTTTTTATTTTTATTTTTCGTTTTTTTTCTGGTCAAACTCCAAAAGGTCTGAAACATGTTCCTAAAAAAATATTGGACAGTGAAATTAACCCTAACGCTAAAAACCTTAAACCTTACCCTAGCCCCGTAACCTAATACCGGGTATGACCTTAAGGAAGCCTTCACACCCCAAACAATTTTTTTTTCATTTTTCGTTTTTTTTTTTTTGGTCCAGCTAACTCCAAAAGGTTGGAAAACGGTTCCTAAAAAGGTTTTGGACAGTGATCTTAACCCTAACGCCAAAAACCTTAAACCTTACCCTAACCCCATAACCTAATACACGGGTATTACTTTCAGGAAGCCTGAACACCCCAAATATATTTTTTTCATTTTACATTTTTTTTGGTCTAACTAACTCCAAAAGGTCTTAAACATGTTCCTTAAAAAATCTTGGACAGTGATTTTAACCCTCAATTTAAAAAACCTTAAACCTTACCCTAGCCCCGTAACCTTATACCCGGGTATTACCTTCAGGAAGCCTGAACACCCCAAATATATTTTTTTTCATATTACATTTTTTTTGGTCTAACTAACTCCAAAAGGTCTGAAACATGTTCCTAAAAAGGTTTTGGACAGTGATTTTAACCCTAACGCTAAAAACCTTTAACCTTTACCTAGCCCTGTAAACTAATACCCGGTTATTACCTAAAGGAAGCCCTACCACCCCAAAAAACTTTTATTTCATTATTCTTTTTTTTTTTGGTCAAGCTAACTCCAAAAGGTTGGAAAAGAGGTCCTACAAAGGTTTGGACAGTGATTTTAACCCTAACGACAAAAACCTTAAACCGTACCCTAGCCCCTTAACCTAATACCCGGGTATTACCTTCAGGAAGCCTGAACACCCCAAACATTTTTTTTTCATTATTCAATTTTTTTTGGTCTAACTAACTCCAAAAGGTCTGAAACATGTTCCTTAAAAAATATTGGACAGTGATTTTAACCCTAACGCCAAAAACCTTTAACCTTTACCTAGCCCTGTAACCTAATACCCGGGTATTACCTAAGGGATGCCCTAACACACCAAAAGTTTTTTATTTTTATTTTTCGTTTTTTTTCTGGTCAAACTCCAAAAGGTCTGAAACATGTTCCTAAAAAAATATTGGACAGTGAAATTAACCCTAACGCTAAAAACCTTTAACCTTTACCTAGCCCTGTAAACTAATACCCGGTTATTACCTAAAGGAAGTCCTACCACCCCAAAAAACTTTTATTTCATTTTTTTTGGTCAAGCTAACTCCAAAAGGGTGGAAAAGAGGTCCTACAAAGGTTTGGACAGTGATTTTAACCCTAACGACAAAAACCTTAAACCTGACCCTAGCCCCTTAACCTAATACCCGGGTATTACCTTAAGGAAGCCTTTACACCCCAAACATTCTTTTTTCATTATTCAATTTTCTTTGGTCTAACTAACTCCAAAAGGTCTGAAACATGTTCCTTAAAAAATATTGGACAGTGATTTTAACCCTAACGCCAAAAACCTTTAACCTTTACCTAGCCCTGTAACCTAATACCCGGGTATTACTTAAGGGATGCCCTAACACACCAAAAGTTTTTTTTTATTATTTTTCGTTTTTTTTCTGGTGAAACTCCAAAAGGTCTGAAACATGTTCCTAAAAAAATATTGGACAGTGAAATTAACCCTAACGCTAAAAACCTTAAACCTTACCCTAGCCCCGTAACCTAATACCCGGGTATGACCTTAAGGAAGCCTTCACACCCCAAACAATTTTTTTTCATTTTTCGTTTTTTTTTTTTGGTCCAGCTAACTCCAAAAGGTTGGAAAACGTTTTTTAAAAAGGTTTTGGACAGTGATCTTAACCCTAACGCCAAAAACCTTAAACCTTACCCTAACCCCATAACCTAATACACGGGTATTACCTTCAGGAAGCCTGAACACCCCAAATATATTTTTTTCATTTTACATTTTTTTTGGTCTAACTAACTCCAAAAGGTCTTAAACATGTTCCTTAAAAAATCTTGGACAGTGATTTTAACCCTCAATATAAAAAACCTTAAACCTTACCCTAGCCCCGTAACCTTATACCCGGGTATTACCTTCAGGAAGCCTGAACACCCCAAATATATTTTTTTTCATATTACATTTTTTTTGGTCTAACTAACTCCAAAAGGTCTGAAACTTGTTCCTAAAAAGGTTTTGGACAGTGATTTTAACCCTAACGCCAAAAACCTTTAACCTTTACCTAGCCCTGTAAACTAATACCCGGTTATTACCTAAAGGAAGCCCTACCACCCCAAAAACTTTTATTTCATTTTTCATTTTTTTTCGGTCAAGCTAACTCCAAAAGGTTGGAAAAGAGGTCCTACAAAGGTTTGGACAGTGATTTTAACCCTAACGCCAAAAACCTTTAACCTTTACCTAGCCCTGTAAACTAATACCCGGGTAATACCTTCAGGAAGCCCTACCACCCCAAAAAACTTCTATTTCAATTTTCTTTGGTCAAGCTAACTCCAAAAGGTTGGAAAAGAGGTCCTACAAAGGTTTGGACAGTGATTTTAACCCTAACGCCAAAAACCTTAAACCTGACCCTAGCCCCTTAACCTAATACCCGGGTATTACCTTAAGGAAGCCTTTACACCCCAAACATTCTTTTTTCATTATTCAATTTTCTTTGGTCTAACTAACTCCAAAAGGTCTGAAACATGTTCCTTAAAAAATATTGGACAGTGATTTTAACCCTAACGCCAAAAACCTTTAACCTTTACCTAGCCCTGTGACCTAATACCCGGGTATTACCTAAGGGATGCCCTAACACAGCAAAAGTTTTTTATTTTTATTTTTCGTTTTTTTTCTGGTCAAACTCCAAAAGGTCTGAAACATGTTCCTAAAAAAATATTGGACAGTGAAATTAACCCTAACGCTAAAAACCTTAAACCTTACCCTAGCCCCGTAACCTAATACCGGGTATGACCTTAAGGAAGCCTTCACACCCCAAACAATTTTTTTTTCATTTTTCGTTTTTTTTTTTTGGTCCAGCTAACTCCAAAAGGTTGGAAAACGGTTCCTAAAAAGGTTTTGGACAGTGATCTTAACCCTAACGCCAAAAACCTTAAACCTTACCCTAACCCCATAACCTAATACACGGGTATTACCTTCAGGAAGCCTGAACACCCCAAATATATTTTTTTCATTTTACATTTTTTTTGGTCTAACTAACTCCAAAAGGTCTTAAACATGTTCCTTAAAAAATCTTGGACAGTGATTTTAACCCTCAATATAAAAAACCTTAAACCTTACCCTAGCCCCGTAACCTTATACCCGGGTATTACCTTCAGGAAGCCTGAACACCCCAAACATATTTTTTTTCATATTACATTTTTTTTGGTCTAACTAACTCCAAAAGGTCTGAAACATGTTCCTAAAAAGGTTTTGGACAGTGATTTTAACCCTAACGCTAAAAACCTTTAACCTTTACCTAGCCCTGTAAACTAATACCCGGTTATTACCTAAAGGAAGCCCTACCACCCCAAAAAACTTTTATTTCATTTTTCTTTTTTTTTTTGGTCAAGCTAACTCCAAAAGGTTGGAAAAGAGGTCCTACAAAGGTTTGGACAGTGATTTTAACCCTAACGACAAAAACCTTAAACCGTACCCTAGCCCCTTAACCTAATACCCGGGTATTACCTTCAGGAAGCCTGAACACCCCAAACATTTTTTTTTCATTATTCAATTTTTTTTGGTCTAACTAACTCCAAAAGGTCTGAAACATGTTCCTTAAAAAATATTGGACAGTGATTTTAACCCTAACGCCAAAAACCTTTAACCTTTACCTAGCCCTGTAACCTAATACCCGGGTATTACCTAAGGGATGCCCTAACACACCAAAAGTTTTTTATTTTTATTTTTCGTTTTTTTTCTGGTCAAACTCCAAAAGGTCTGAAACATGTTCCTAAAAAAATATTGGACAGTGAAATTAACCCTAACGCTAAAAACCTTTAACCTTTACCTAGCCCTGTAAACTAATACCCGGTTATTACCTAAAGGAAGTCCTACCACCCCAAAAAACTTTTATTTCATTTTTTTTGGTCAAGCTAACTCCAAAAGGGTGGAAAAGAGGTCCTACAAAGGTTTGGACAGTGATTTTAACCCTAACGACAAAAACCTTAAACCTGACCCTAGCCCCTTAACCTAATACCCGGGTATTACCTTAAGGAAGCCTTTACACCCCAAACATTCTTTTTTCATTATTCAATTTTCTTTGGTCTAACTAACTCCAAAAGGTCTGAAACATGTTCCTTAAAAAATATTGGACAGTGATTTTAACCCTAACGCCAAAAACCTTTAACCTTTACCTAGCCCTGTAACCTAATACCCGGGTATTACTTAAGGGATGCCCTAACACACCAAAAGTTTTTTTTTATTATTTTTCGTTTTTTTTCTGGTGAAACTCCAAAAGGTCTGAAACATGTTCCTAAAAAAATATTGGACAGTGAAATTAACCCTAACGCTAAAAACCTTAAACCTTACCCTAGCCCCGTAACCTAATACCCGGGTATGACCTTAAGGAAGCCTTCACACCCCAAACAATTTTTTTTCATTTTTCGTTTTTTTTTTTTTGGTCCAGCTAACTCCAAAAGGTTGGAAAACGGTTTTTAAAAAGGTTTTGGACAGTGATCTTAACCCTAACGCCAAAAACCTTAAACCTTACCCTAACCCCATAACCTAATACACGGGTATTACCTTCAGGAAGCCTGAACACCCCAAATATATTTTTTTCATTTTACATTTTTTTTGGTCTAACTAACTCCAAAAGGTCTTAAACATGTTCCTTAAAAAATCTTGGACAGTGATTTTAACCCTCAATATAAAAAACCTTAAACCTTACCCTAGCCCCGTAACCTTATACCCGGGTATTACCTTCAGGAAGCCTGAACACCCCAAATATATTTTTTTTCATATTACATTTTTTTTGGTCTAACTAACTCCAAAAGGTCTGAAACTTGTTCCTAAAAAGGTTTTGGACAGTGATTTTAACCCTAACGCCAAAAACCTTTAACCTTTACCTAGCCCTGTAAACTAATACCCGGTTATTACCTAAAGGAAGCCCTACCACCCCAAAAAACTTTTATTTCATTTTTCATTTTTTTTTTCGGTCAAGCTAACTCCAAAAGGTTGGAAAAGAGGTCCTACAAAGGTTTGGACAGTGATTTTAACCCTAACGACAAAAACCTTAAACCGTACCCTAGCCCCTTAACCTAATACCCGGGTATTACCTTCAGGAAGCCTTAACACCCCAAAAAAAATTTATTTCCTTTTTTTTTTTTTTTTTTTTTGACTAACTAACTCCAAAAGGTTGGAAAAGAGTTCCTACAAAGGTTTTGGACAGTGATTTTAACCCTAACGCCAAAAACCTTAAACCTTACCCTAGCCCCTTAACCTAATACCCGGGTATTACCTTAAGGAAGCCTTTACACCCCAAACATTTTTTTTTCATTATTCAATTTTTTTGGTCTAACTAACTCCAAAAGGTCTGAAACATGTTCCTTAAAAAATATTGGACAGTGATTTTAACCCTAACGCCAAAAACCTTAAACCTTACCCAAGCCCCTTAACCTAATACCCGGGTATTACCTTAAGGAAGCCTTTACACCCCAAACATTTTTTTTTCATTATTAAATTTTTTTGGTCTAACTAACTCCAAAAGGTCTGAAACATGTTCCTTAAAAAATATTGGACAGTGATATTAACCCTAACGCTAAAAACCTTAAACCTGACCCTAGCCCCGTAACCTAATACGACCTTAAGGAAGCCTTCACACCCGAAAATTTTTTTTTTCATTTTTCGTTTTTTTTTTTGGTCCAGCTAACTCCAAAAGGTTGGAAAACGGTTCCTAAAAAGGTTTTGGACAGTGATCTTAACCCTAACACCAAAAACCTTAAACCTTACCCTAACCCCATAACCTAATACACGGGTATTACCTTCAGGAAGCCCGAACACCCCCAAAATTTTTTTTTTCATTTTACATTTTTTTTGGTCTAACTAACTCCAAAAGGTCTGAAACATGTTCCTTAAAAAATCTTGGACAGTGATTTTAACCCTCAATATAAAAAACCTTAAACCTTACCCTAGCCCCGTAACCTTATACCCGGGTATTACCTTCAGGAAGCCCGAACACCCCAAATATTTTTTTTTAATTTTACATTTTTCTTTGGTCTAACTAACTCCAAAAGGTCTGAAACTTGTTCCTAAAAAGGTTTTGGACAGTGATTTTTCCCCTAATGCCAAAAACCTTTAACCTTTACCTAACCCCATAACCTAAAACCTGGGTATTAAAAAAAGGAAGCCCTACAACCCCCAAAATATTTTTTTTCATTTTACATTTTTTTTTGGTCTAACTAACTCCAAAAAGTCTGAAACATGTTCCTTAAAAGGTATTGGACAGTGATTTTAACCCTCACGATAAAAAAACCTTAAACCTTGCCCTAGCCCCGTAACCTAATACCCAGGTATTACCTTAAGGAAGCCTTAACACCCCCAAAAATTATTTTTTTCATTTTTCGTATTTTTTTGGTCTAACTAACTCCAAAAGGTCTGAAACATGTTCCTAAAAAATATTGGAGAGTGATTTTAACCCTCACTATAAAAAAACCTTAAACTTTACCCTAGCCCTGTGACCTAATACCCGGGCATTACCTTAAGGAAGCCTTAACACCCCAAACATTTTTTTTTCATTTTACATTTTTTTTGGTCTAACTAACTCCAAAAAGTCTGAATCATGTCCCTTAAAAGGTTTTGGACAGTGATTTTAACACTAACGCCAAAAGGCTTAAACCTGACCCGAGCCCTGTAATCCAATACCCGGGTGTTACCTTAAGGAAGCCTTAACACCCCAAACATATTTTATTTCATTTTTCATTTTTTTTTTTGGTCTAACTAACTCCAAAAGGTCTGAAACATGTTTCTAAAAAAAAAATATATAGGACAGTGATTGTTACCCTAACGCTAAAAACGTCAAACCTTACCCTAGCCCCATAACCTATTACCTGGGTATTACCTAAAGGAAGCCTAATTACCACCAATTTTTTTTTTTCATTTTTTGTTTTTTTTTTGGTCTTATTAACTCCAAAAGGTTGGAAAAGAGTTCCTAAAAAGGTTTTGGACAGTAATTTTAACCTTAACACCAAAAACCTTTAACCTTTACCTAGCCCTGTAACCTAATACCCGGGTGTTACCTTCAGGAAGCACGACCACCCCAAATTTTTTTTTTTCATTTTACATTTTTTTTTGGTCTAACTAACTCCAAAAGGTTGGAAAAGAGTTCCTAAAAAGGATTTGGACAGTGATTTTAACTCTCACGCTAAAAACCTTAAACCTTGCCCTAACCCCATAACCTAACACCCAGGTGTTACCTTACAGAAGCCTTAAAGTCCCCAAAATTTTTTTTTCATTTTTCCTTTTTTTTATTTGTCTAACTAACTCCAAAAGGTTGGAAAAGAGTTCCTACAAAGGTTTTGGACAGTGATTTTAACCCTAACACCAAAAACCTTAAACCTTACCCTAGCCCCGTAACCTAATACCCGGGCATTACCTTAAGAAAGCCTTAACACCCCAAACTTTTTTTTTTTTCATTTTTCTTTTTTTTTTTCAGTCTAACTCCAAAAAGTCTGAATCATGTCCCTTAAAAGGTTTTGGACAGTGATTTTAACACTAACGCCAAAAAGCTTAAACCTGACTTGAGCCCTGTAATCCAATACCCGGGTGTTACCTTAAGGAAGCCTTAACACCCCAAACATTTTTTATGTCATTTTTACTTTTTTTTTTTTTTTTTTTTTTTGGTCAAACTAACTCCAAAAGGTCTGAAACACGTTTCTAAAAAAAAAAATATAGGACAGTGATTTTAACCCTAACGCTTAAAACGTTAAACCGTACCCAGCCCCATAACCTATTACCCGGGTATTACCTAAAGGAAGCCTTATTACCACCAATTTTTTTTTTTTTCATTTTTCGTTTTTTTTTTTGGTCCAGCTAACTCCAAAAGGTTGGAAAAGAGTTCCTAAAAAGGTTTTGGACAGTGATTTTAACCCTAACGCCAAAAACCTTAAACTTTTCCCCCAGCCCTGTAACCTAAGGAAGCCTTAACACCCCCCAAAATTTTTTTTTCATTTTCATTTTTTTTTCGGTCTTACTAACTCCAAAAAGTCTGAATCATGTTCCTAAAAATGTTTTGGACAGTGAATTTAACACTAACGCCAAAAAGCTTAAACCTGACCCGAGCCCTGTAATCCAATACCCGGGTATTACCTTAATGCCACCCCAAAACATTTTTTTTTCATTTTTCGTTTTTTTTTTGGGTTTAACTATCTCCAAAAGGTCTTAAACATGTTCCTAAAAAGTGATTCTAACCCTTATGCTAAAAACCTTAAACCTTACCCTTGCCCTTTAAACTAATGCCAAAAACCTTTAACCTTTACCTAGCCCTGAAACCTAATACCCGGGTATTACCTTCAGGAAGCCTTAACACCCCAAAATTTTTTTTTCATTTTACATTTTTTTTTGGTCTCACTGACTCCAAAAGGTCTGATACATGTTCCTAAAAAGGTTTTGGACAATGATTTTAACCCTAACACCAAAAACCTTAAACCTTACCCTAGCCCCATAACCTAATACCCAGGTATTACCTTGAGGAAGCCCTACCACCCCAAACATTTTTTTGTCGTTTTTCAGTTTTTTTTTTGTCTAACTAACTTCAAAAGTTCCGAAACATGTTCCCAAAAAATATTGGACAGTGATTTTAACCCTAATTGCCAAAAACCTTAAACCTTACCCAAACCCTGAAACCTAATGCCCAGGTATTATTTTCAGGAAGCCTTAACACCCCAAATATTTTTTTTTTCCATTTTTCGTTTTTTTTTTTTTGGTCTAATTTACTCCAAAAGGTCTGAAACATGTTCCTAAAAAGGTTTTGGACAGTGATTTTAACCCTCACGCCAAAAACCTTTAACCTTTACCTAGCTCTTTAACCTAATACCCGGGTATTACCTAAAGGAAGCCCTACCACCCCCAATTTTTTTTTTTCATTTTTCATTTTTTTCCCGTCTAATTAACTCCAAAAGGTCTGAAACATGTTCCTAAAACAATATTGGATAGTGATTTTTACCCTAACACAAAAAACTTTGCACCTTACCCTAGTCCCGTAACCTAATACTCCCTTATTCCCTTAACCCTCGGGGCATCTTGGGGACAAAAATGGCCATTTTTTTTTTTTTTTTTTGTTCTTCTCTCAGTAACCCAGTCAGTTTAAAGGCTAGCTGTATGAAATTTTGGCACTATTATTTTTTTATTTTCATTACCTGAATTCCAAAAGCCTGTGTAGTGGAAGTGTTTAGAATAGGAGATTTGCATCACACCGACACCTGTCACCCTCGTGTCCAAATTTGGACAATTGACTCCAATTATAACCACTTATTTGTCATACGCTATAATCCTAACATATTATAATGCTTTTTCTATATATACCTAATAGATCTAAGGTTTTACCTTCAAAATTTAGGGAAAATATGTTTTGGGTGTAATGACCCCCCTTTAACAACCAGTGGCCATTACATAAAGTTTCGGGGAAATTTCAGCAAAGGCCTGGGTTTCTTACCTCGCAAAGCCCCTGGGATTCTTTGATTTTCACACAAAAACACACATACTTCTGTGAGGGAATAATCGTCCCCCCTGACTCTCAGATGAATATTCTCCTCAGACTACTGCAAGACAAACACACACACACACACACACACACACACATACACACACTCGCGCGCACACACACGCACACACACAGTCAATGTTTACGCACCTGCAAAAACATTCTATTTTACGTATCCAATAGGAGCGCGTAGGCTTTCTTTTGATCTAGAAAAAGTTACACTTCAAACACAACTTGGCTGGGGCCTCATTTATAAAACCTGGCGTAGGATCCATACTAAAAGTGTACGTAAGTTGAAAAGCTGAAAAGTGCGTAGGCAAAAAAAAAAATCTGATTTATAAAACCCTGCCTACGCACACTTGCACGCACTTTCCCTTTATAAATCACAGACCAGCCGGAAAGTTGCTCAGCAGGGATTTGATTCATGCCCCGCCCTCCCACACCCAAAATTCACCATGTATGGTCATGCAAATTACCTCATGAATGTGATTTGCATATAAATAAGCCTGATGGCTCCACGGCATTTCACGCTTAATCATGGCATCAGCAAGTCGTAGAAAAAGAAACTTTTCAGAGATCGAGGTGGAGGTTCTTGTAAATGAGGTGGCGGCGAGCGAGAGACCTTATTCGGCGGCCATTCGAGTGGCATCACCAACAAAAGAAAAGCCACCGAATGGCACGCCGTTGCCGTGGCGGTAAGTGCGGCTGGAACTGAGCGCAGGGTTGCCGAAATCAGGAAGAAGTGGTCTGATCTAAAGGTGGAGGCGAAGAAAAAAGTGGCTTTGCACCGTCGGAGCGTGGCGGCGACAGGTGAGGATCAGAAAACACAAGCACGTGTGACATTCATGCATGTGTTAAAAAAAAAAACAGCTCCGTCTACCGCTGCTCATGTGGTGAAAGTTCGTAAACCAAAAAGATTTAGTCATATTAATCTTAAAACAAATGCATGTAAATGAAATTAGTTTTTTTGCACATTTGTAAATTCAAATTGGCAAACTTTCTACACCGCCACAGTGGGGTCTGTGCTTTCTGCGAGCATCACTGCCTGGTACAGCAGCTGCAGCTCTCAGGACAGAGAGGCCCTGCATCGAGTCATCCGTTGTGCTGAACGCATCACCCGGACTGCACTGCCCGGCCTCCAGGACATCTACACCCAGCGGTGCAGGTCCAGGGCAAGACGGATTATCAAACACTCACCATCCCAACCACAGACTGTTTGAGCAACTGCCCTCGGGTAAGAGGCTTCGCTCCATCAGAGCCAGGACTGAGAGGCTGAAAAGGAGCTTCCCACAGGCCACTCGGATCCTTAACTCCTCATAACACACACCCCATAACTGGCTTCGCAACACCCTCTGAACAAACTTTACATCATTATTATTCTGTTTTTTTGGCATAATCGCAGACGTCACTTTCATCTCACTGCCACTGTACCTGTACATTTAGGTATGTGACAAATAAAACTTGAAACCTCTACTGCATTGCGCACGACTGTCACTGTATGGCTTTTTAAATGCGCGCTTTCCATTAACCATGTGTTCTTACCTTGCTCCGATTGTCTCCAAAAAGTGCGTAAGCAAGGTGTGGAGTTTGCTTAAAGTTGAGCACATTCCTACTCTAGTTTTTCTTTTATAAATCCCAACTCTTGCGTAAGAAGTGGCGTAAGCATTTCCTAGCCAGGTTTTGTGCGTAAGCAAGCTTTATAAATGAGGCCCCTGGTCATTTCTCGAGAAGACAGTCATGAAGCGACATCTTAACTTGGAGCAGGCAGTTGCTGCATGTATGTGGTCACCTGAAAAGACTGAGGCCATCATTAGCAGTGAAGATTTACCTTTGAGCCAGGAGGATTCAGGGGAGGAATACCTACCAGATGGAGAGGGACACTCCAATTTGATGGAGGGAAATGAAGAGGAGAAGGAGACAGAGGAAGAAGAGGAGGAGACGGAAGATGAAGAGGAAGAGGCAGTGGAGTATGACACCTCTCTATGGATGTCCCGAAATGGAGAAATCCTGTGGTCTCCCTCACATTAAATGACTCTGCCATTTTTTCCACCCCCAATTCTGACGCCAGGGCCAACTCACTATGCACTTGCCAGGATCAGGAGCCCTGGAAGTGCATTTGATTTTTTTTTTCCCGACGAAATCCTGCAGCTTATCCTCCATTTCACCAACCTGCAGGGGAGGAGGTCACTGAATGGCTGGAGAGACCCGAGTTAGCAGGAGCTGCGTGCCTACCTGGGGCTGGTGATTTTAGCTGGCTTGTTCAAGTCACAGCATGAATCTGTCAAAAGCCTGTGGGACAAGGAGGTGGGACGACCCATTTTTGCTGCAACTATGTCATCAAAAAGATTCTTGAATATCAACCTAGCCATGCGGTTTGATGATAAACTGTTGCGGCCAGACCGCCACAGGAGGGATAAGATGGCCCCGATCAGAGACCTGTGGGACAGATGGAGCAGCCGACTCCCTAAGATGTTTAACCCGGGAAGGGACATCTGTATCGTCGAACAGCTGGTCCCTTTTAGGGGACGCTGTTCATTTAGGCAATACATGCCCTCCAAACCTGGGAAGTATGGCCTGAAGATTTGGGCACTCTGCGATGCTCAGACCTCCTATGCATGGAGGCTCCAAGTTTACTTGGGAAAGTCTGCCTCAGCACCACATGAGCGCAACCAGGGCATGCATGTTGTACTGGAGCTCACAGATGAGCTCGAGGGCCACACTGTAACAAAAGATAACTTTTTTACATCTTTACCTCTTGCTGAGGAGCTGCAGAAGAGGAGGATGGCCCTGGTCGGGACACTGAAGTCAAACAAACCTGAGCTCCCCCACCAGCTGTTCAACACCAAACGCAGAGAAGTGCTTTCCTCTGTGTTTGCCTTAATGTACAACAAGACCACTGTGTCCTATGTCCCGAAAAAAAGGAAAAATGTCCTGCTTTTGAGCACAAGACATCGGGAGCCGGAGGTCCAGGAATCTAGGAAGAAAAAACCTCAGATCATTCTGGACTACAATAGATGCAAAGGGGCTGTCGACCACCTAGACCAGGTAATTACAAATCACATATTTATTTTACTTACTGGTATTTATTTACAGTTGCTCATTACATATTGTTGTGTGATAAAGTAGTAGACTATTTACTTTTTCATTTTTTCAATTCATCCAGAGGGATGTGTAAGCTATAAACGTATTCATGTCAACTGATCATTAGTTGTTTTGTTTTTTTTTTTTTCGCAGGCTTGTGGCACCTACTCCTGCCGTAGGCAAACACGCTGCTGGCCCATGTGTCTGTTCTATCACTTGGTTGATGTGTTGTGCTTCAATGCATACATCCTTTTCACCTCTGTTGACCCCAGCTGGAACAGTGGCAAGAACTTCAAGCGCCGCCTCTTCCTTCAGCAGCTTGGCAGAGCTCTCATAGCCCCAGCCACTGCAAACAGGAGCCATTTTCCCAGAGGACCATTTGCAGCCAGCCTGGTTCTCCAAGCCCAGGGCCAGGTCCATCAAGAGGAAGGCCATGAAAAACAGGGAGAAGAGGAGGAAAAGGAGGAGAAGCCACAGCCAGGACTCTCCAGAAAGCGGAAGGCATGTTTATTGTGCCCAAATCCTAAAAGAGTGAGGAGCCAGTGCATCAAATGCAGAGGATATGCATGCAGGAAGAACCTTGCACTTGTCTGTCTCCAGTAGCTGTGAACATTAACATATTGAACTTAAAACTTTGACATTTGTTGAAATTGAGTTTGTGGTGTTTGTTGAACTTGAGTTTGTCGTGTTTTTGAACTTGAGTTTGTGTGTTTTTTGAACTTGAGTTTGTGGCGTGTTTGAACTAGAGTTTGTGGCGTGTTTGAATTTGAGGTTTTTGCAATTGTTAAACTTGAGGTTTGGGTGTTGTTGAACTTGAAACTGACATTTGTTGAACTTAAATTTGTGGTCTTTGTTGAACTTGAGTTTGTGTCGTGTTTGAACTTGAGATTGTGTTTTTTTACTTGAGTTTGTGTGGTTTTTGAACTTGAGTTTGTGGCGTTTGTTAAACTTGAGATTTGGGTGTTGGTTGAACTTGAGTGAGTGTGTCGTGTTTGAACCTGAGTTTGTTGTGTTTTTGAACTTGGGTTTGTCTCTTGTTTGACCTTGAATTTTTGTGTTTTTGAACTTGAGTTTGTGTGTTTGTTAAACTTGAGTTTTTGGCGTCTCTGAACTTGAGTATGTGTTGTTTTTGAACTTGAGGTTGTGGCAATTGTTAAACTTGAGTTTTGGGTGTTAGTTGAACTTAAAAATTTTCACAATTGTTGAACGTGAGTTTGTGGTGTTCATTGAACTTGAGTTTGTGTCATGTTTGAACTTGAGTTCGTCGTGTTTTTTGAACTTGAGGTTGTGGTGTTTTTGAACCTGAGTTTGTGTGTTTGTTGAAGTTGAGTTTGTGGCATGGTTGAATTTGAGGTTGTTGCAATTGTTAAACTTGAGATTTGGGTGTTGGTTGAACTTGAAAATTTGACAATTGTTGAACTTGAGTTTGTGGTGTTTGTTGAACTTAAGTTTGTGTCGTGTTTGAACTTGAGATTGTGTATTTTTTAACTTGAGTTTGTGGTGTGTTTGAACTTGAGTTTGTGGCGTGTTTGAACTTGAGATTGTGTCGTGTTTGAACTTGAGTTTGTGGTGTTTTTGAACTTGAGTTTGTGGCGTGTTTGAACTTGAGTTTGTGGCGTGTTTGAACTTGAGGCTGTGGAATTTGTTATACTTGAGGTTTGGGTGTTGGTTGAACTTGAAACTTTGACATTTGTTCAATTTGATATTGTGGTTTATCAACTTGAGTTTGTGTCATGTTTGAACTTGAGATTGTATTTTTTTTAACTTGAGTTTGTGTGGTTTTTGAAATTGGGTTTGTCTCTTGTTTGACCTTGAATTTTTGTGTTTTTGAACTTGAGTTTGTGTGTTTGTTAAACTTGAGTTTTTGGCGTCTCTGAACTTGAGTATGTGTTGTTTTTGAACTTGAGGTTGTGGCAATTGTTAAACTTGAGTTTTGGGTGTTAGTTGAACTTAAAAATTTTCACAATTGTTGAACGTGAGTTTGTGGTGTTCATTGAACTTGAGTTTGTGTCATGTTTGAACTTGAGTTCGTCGTGTTTTTTGAACTTGAGGTTGTGGTGTTTTTGAACCTGAGTTTGTGTGTTTGTTGAAGTTGAGTTTGTGGCATGGTTGAATTTGAGGTTGTTGCAATTGTTAAACTTGAGATTTGGGTGTTGGTTGAACTTGAAAATTTGACAATTGTTGAACTTGAGTTTGTGTGTTTGTTGAACTTAAGTTTGTGTCGTGTTTGAACTTGAGATTGTGTATTTTTTAACTTGAGTTTGTGGTGTGTTTGAACTTGAGTTTGTGGCGTGTTTGAACTTGAGATTGTGTCGTGTTTGAACTTGAGTTTGTGGTGTTTTTGAACTTGAGTTTGTGGCGTGTTTGAACTTGAGTTTGTGGCGTGTTTGAACTTGAGGCTGTGGAATTTGTTATACTTGAGGTTTGGGTGTTGGTTGAACTTGAAACTTTGACATTTGTTCAATTTGATATTGTGGTTTATCAACTTGAGTTTGTGTCATGTTTGAACTTGAGATTGTATTTTTTTTAACTTGAGTTTGTGTGGTTTTTGAAATTGGGTTTGTGGTGTGTTTGAACTTGAGTTTGTGTGTTTGTTGAACTTGAGTTTGTGGCGTGTTTGAACTTGAGTTTGTGGTGTTTTTGAACTTGAGTTTGGCGTCTTTGAACTAAAGTTTGTGGTGCTTTTGAACTTGAGTTTGTGTCGTGTTTGAACTTGAGTTTGTGGTGTTTTTGAACTTGAGTTTGTGTGTTTGTTAAACTTGAGTTTTTGGCGTGTTTGAACTTGAGTTTGTGGTGTTTTTGAACCAGAGGTTGTGGAAATTGTTAAACTTAAGAATCGGGTGATGGTTAAACTTGAGTTTGTGTTGTTTTTGAACTTGAGGTTGTGGCAATTGTTAAACTTGAGTTTTGGGTGTTGGTTGAACTTAAAAATTTTCACAATTGTTGAACTTGAGTTTGTGGTGTTCATTGAACTTGAGTTTGTGTCATGTTTGAACTTGAGTTTGTCGTTTTTTTTGAACTTGAGGTTGTGGTGTTTTTGAACCTGAGTTTGTGTGTTTGTTGAAGTTGAGTTTGTGGCGTGGTTGAATTTGAGGTTGTTGCAATTGTTAAACTTGAGATTTGGGTGTTGGTTGAACTTGAAACTTTGACAATTGTTGAACTTGAGTTTGTGTCGTGTTTGAACTTGAGATTGTGTTTTTTTGAACTTGAGTTTGTGTGGTTTTTGAACTTGAGTTCGTGGTGTGTTTGAACTTGAGTTTGTGACGTGTTTGAAATTGAGTTTGTGACGTGTTTGAACTTGAGTTTGTGGTGTTTTTGAACTTGAGTTTGTGGCGTGTTTGAACTTGAGGTTGTGGAATTTGTTATACTTGAGGTTTGGGTGTTGGTTGAACTTGAAACTTTGACAATTGTTGAACTTGAGTTTGTGTCGTGTTTGAACTTGAGATTGTGTTTTTTTTTAACTTTAGTTTGTGGCGTGTTTGAACTTGAGGTTGTGGAATTTGTTATACTTGAGGTTTGGGATGTTGGTTGAACTTGAAACTTTGACAATTGTTGAACTTGAGTTTGTGTCGTGTTTGAACTTGAGATTGTGTTTTTTTGAACTTGAGTTTGTGTGGTTTTTGAACTTGAGTTTGTGGTGTGTTTGGACTTGAGTTTGTGTCGTGTTTGAACTTGAGTTTGTGGTGTTTTTGAACTTGAGGTTGTGGAATTTGTTATACTTGAGGTTTAGGTGTTGGTTGAACTTGAAACTTTGACATTTGTTGAATTTGAGTTTGTGGTCTTTGTTCAACTTGAGTTTGTGTCGTGTTTGAACTTGAGATTGTATTTTTTTAACTTGAGTTTGTGTGGTTTTTGAACTTGGGTTTGTGGCGTGTTTGAACTTGAGTTTGTGGTGTGTTTGAACTTGAGTTTGTGGTGTTTTTTGAACTTGAGCTTGTGGTGTTTTTGAACTTGAGTTTGTGTGTTTGTTGAACTTGAGTTTGTGGAGTGTTTGAACATGAGTTTGTGGTGTTTTTGAACTTGAGTTTGTGTGTTTTTTGAACTTGAGGTTGTGGAAATTGTTAAACTTGAGAATCAGGTGTTGTTTGAACTTGAGTTTTTTTGTTTTTTGAACTTGAGTTTGTGTCGTGTTTGAACTTGAGTTTGTGGTGTTTTTTGAACTCGAGGTTGTGGTGTTTTTGAACTTGAGTTTGTGTCGTGTTTGAACTTGAGTTTGTGGTGTTTTTTGAACTTGAGTTTGTGTCGTGTTTGAACTTGAGTTTGTGGTGTTTTTTGAACTCGAGGTTTAGGTGTTTTTGAACTTGAGTTTGTGTGTTTTTTTAACTTGAGGTTGTGGAAATTGTTTAACTTGAAAATCGGATGTTGTTTGAACTTGAGTTTGTGGTGTTTTTTGAACTTGAGTTTGTGTCGTGCTTGAACTTGAGTTTGTGGTGTTTTTTGAACTTGAGGTTGTGGTGTTTTTGAACTTAAGGTTGTGGAAATTGTTAAACTTGAGTATCGGGTGTTGTTTGAACTTGAGTTTGTGGCATGTTTGATCTTGAGTTTGTGGTGTTTTTTAAACTTGAGCTTGTGGTGTTTTTGAACTTGAGTTTGTGTGTTTGTTGAACTTGAGTTAGTGGCGTGTTTGAACTTGAGTTTGTGGTGTTTTTTGAACTTGAGTTTGTGGCGTTTTAAACTTGAGAATGGGGTATTGGTTGAACTTGAGTTTGTTTGTTTTTTGAACTTGAGTTTGTGTCGTGTTTGAACTTGAGTTTGTGGTGTTTTTTTAACTCAAGGTTATGGTGTTTTTGAACTTGAGTTTGTGTGTTTTTTGAACTTGAGGTTGTGGAAATTGTTTAACTTGAGAAACGGGTGTTGTTTGAACTTGAGTTTGTGGTGTTTTTTGAACTTGAGTTTGTGTCGTATTTGAACTTGAGTTTGTGGTGTTTTTTGAACTCAAGGTTATGGTGTTTTTGAACTTGAGTTTGTGTGTTTTTTGAACTTGAGGTTGTGGAAATTGTTTAACTTGAGAAACGGGTGTTGTTTGAACTTGAGTTTGTGGTGTTTTTTGAACTTGAGTTTGTGTCATGTTTGAACTTGAGTTTGTGGTGTTTTTTGATCTTGAGTTTGTGTCGTGTTTGAACTTGAGTTTGTGGTGTTTTCTGAACTCAAGGTTGTGGTGTTTTTGAACTTGAGTTTGTGTGTTTTTTGAATTTGAGGTTGTGGAAATTGTTTAACTTGAGAATCGGGTGTTGTTTGAACTTGAGTTTGTGGTGTTTTTTGAACTTGAGTTTGTGTCTTGTTTGAACTTGAGCTTGTGGTGTTTTTGAACTTGAGTTTGTGTGTTTGTTGAACTTGAGTTAGTGGCGTGTTTGAACTTGAGTTTTTGGTGTTTTTTGAACTTGAGTTTGTGGCGTTTTAAACTTGAGAATCGGGTATAGGTTGAACTTGAGTTTGTTTGTTTTTTGAACTTGAGTTTGTGTCATGTTTGAACTTGAGTTTGTGGTGTTTTTTGAACCTAAGGTTGTGGTGTTTTTGAACTTGAGTTTGTGTGTTTTTTGAACATGAGGTTGTGGAAATTGTTTAACTTGAGAAACGGGCGTTGTTTGAACTTGAGTTTGTGGTGTTTTTTGAACTTGAGTTTGTGTCATGTTTGAACTTGAGTTTGTGGTGTTTTCTGAACTCAAGGTTGTGGTGTTTTTGAACTTGAGTTTGTGTGTTTTTTGAACTTGAGGTTGTGGAAATTGTTAAACTTAAGAATCGGGTGTTGTTTGAACTTGAGTTTGTGGTGTTTTTTGAACTTGAGTTTGTGTCTTGTTTGAACTTGAGGTTGTGGCAAATGTTAAACTTGAGATTTAAATGTTGGTTGAACTTGAGTGAGTGTGTCGTGTTTGAACCTGAGTTTGTTGTGTTTTTGAACTTAAGTTTGTCTCGTGTTTGACCTTGAGTTTGTTGTGTTTTTGAACTTGAGTTTGTGGTGTTTGTTGAACTTGAGTTTGTGTCGTGTTTGAACTTGAGTTTGTGGTGTTTTTGAACTTGAGTTTGTGGTGTTTTTGAACTTGAGTTTGTGTGTTTTTTGAACATGAGGTTGTGGAAATTATTTAACTTGATAAACGGGTGTTGTTTGAACTTGAGATTTGGGTGTTTTTTGAACTTGAGTTTTTGGTGTTTTTTGAACTTGAGCTTGTGGTGTTTTTGAACTTGAGTTTGTGTGTTTGTTGAACTTGAGTTAGTGGCGTGTTTGAACTTGAGTTTTTGGTGTTTTTTGAACTTGAGTTTGTGGCGTTTTAAACTTGAGAATCGGGTATAGGTTGAACTTGAGTTTGTTTGTTTTTTGAACTTGAGTTTGTGTCGTGTTTGAACTTGAGTTTGTGGTGTTTTTTGAACCCAAGGTTGTGGTGTTTTTGAACTTGAGTTTGTGTGTTTTTTGAACATGAGGTTGTGGAAATTGTTTAACTTGAGAAACGGGTGTTGTCTGAACTTGAGTTTGTGGTGTTTTTTGAACTTGAGTTTGTGTCCGATTGAACTTGAGTTTGTGGTGTTTTTTTAACTTGAGTTTGTGTCGTGTTTGAACTTGAGTTTGTGGTGTTTTTTGAACTCGAGGTTGTGGTGTTTTTGAACTTGAGTTTGTGTGTTTTTTGAACTTGAGTTTGTGTCGTATTTGAACTTGAGATTTGGGTGTTTTTTGAACTTGAGTTTGTGTCGTGTTTGAACTTGAGTTTGTGTTGTTTTTTGAACTCGAGGTTTAGGTGTTTTTGAACTTGAGTTTGTGTGTTTTTTTAACTTGAGGTTGTGGAAATTGTTTAACTTGAAAATCGGATGTTGTTTGAACTTGAGTTTGTGGTGTTTTTTGAACTTGAGTTTGTGTCGTGCTTGAACTTGAGTTTGTGGTGTATTTTGAACTTGAGGTTGTGGTGTTTTTGAACTTAAGGTTGTGGAAATTGTTAAACTTGAGAATCGGGTGTTGTTTGAACTTGAGTTTGTGGCGTGTTTGATCTTGAGTTTGTGGTGTTTTTTAAACTTGAGCTTGTGGTGTTTTTGAACTTGAGTTTGTGTGTTTGTTGAACTTGAGTTAGTGGCGTGTTTGAACTTGAGTTTGTGGTGTTTTTTGAACTTGAGTTTGTGGCGTTTTAAACTTGAGAATGGGGTATTGGTTGAACTTGAGTTTGTTTGTTTTTTGAACTTGAGTTTGTGTTGTTTTTGAACTTGAGTTTGTGGTGTTTTTTGAACTCAAGGTTATGGTGTTTTTGAACTTGAGTTTGTTTGTTTTTTGAACTTGAGGTTGTGGAAATTGTTTAACTTGAGAAACGGGTGTTGTTTGAACTTGAGTTTGTGGTGTTTTTTGAACTTGAGTTTGTGTCGTGTTTGAACTTGAGTTTGTGGTGTTTTCTGAACTCAAGGTTGTGGTGTTTTTGAACTTGAGTTTGTGTGTTTTTGAACTTGAGGTTGTGGAAATTGTTTAACTTGAGAATCGGGTGTTGTTTGAACTTGAGTTTGTGGTGTTTTTTGAACTTGAGTTTGTGTCTTCTTTGAACTTGAGCTTGTGGTGTTTTTGAACTTGAGTTTGTGTGTTTGTTGAACTTGAGTTAGTGGCGTGTTTGAACTTGAGAATCGGGTATAGGTTGAACTTGAGTTTGTTTGTTTTTTGAACTTGAGTTTGTGTCGTGTTTGAACTTGAGTTTGTGGTGTTTTTTGAACTTGAGGTTGTGGTGTTTTTGAACTTGAGTTTGTGTGTTTTTTGAACATGAGGTTGTGGAAATTGTTTAACTTGAGAAACGGGTGTTGTTTGAACTTGAGTTTGTGGTGTTTTTTGAACTTGAGTTTGTGTCGCGTTTGAACTTGAGTTTGTGGTGTTTTTTTAACTTGAGTTTGTGTCGTGTTTGAACTTGAGTTTGTGGTGTTTTTTGAACTCGAGGTTGTGGTGTTTTTGAACTTGAGTTTGTGTGTTTTTTGAACTTGAGGTTCTGGAAATTGTTTAACTTGAGAATCGGGTGTTGTTTGAACTTGAGTTTGTGTGTTTTTTGAACTTAACTTTGTTGAACTTGAGTTTGTGGCAATTGTTGAACTTGCGTCTTTGGTTTTTAGTGAACTTTAATTTGTGGCAATTGTTGAACTTGAGTTTGTGGCGTTTGTTGAACTTGAGTTTGTGTCGTGTTTGAACTTGAGTTTGTGGTGTTTTTGAACTTGAGTTTGTGGTGTTTGTTGAACTTGAGTTCGTGTTGTGTTTGAACTTGAGTTTGTGGTGTTTTTGAACTTGAGTTTGTGGTGTTTGTTGAACTTGAGTTTGTGACGTGTTTGAACTTGAGTTTGTGGTGTTGTTTGAACTTGAGGTTGTGGAAATTGTTAAACTTGAGAATCGGGCATTGGTTGAACTTGAGTTTGTGGTGTTTTTGAACTTGAGTTTGTGGCGTGTTTGAACTTGAGTTTGTGGTGTGTTTGAGCTTCTGTTGTTTTTGAACTTGAGGTTTTGGCAATTGTTTAACATGAGATTTGAGTGTTGGTTGATCTTGAGTTGTCCTGAACTTTTGTTTTTGGAATTTTTGAACCTAAGGTTGTGTTTTTTTTTAACTTAAGTTCGTGGCAACTAATGAACTTGAGTTTGTTTAACTTCAGTTTGTGGCAAATGTTGAACTTGTGTTTGTGTTTTTTTTAACTTGAGTTTGTGTCGTGTTTGCACTCTAGGTTGTGGTGTATTTGAACTAGAGTTTGTTTTTGTTTGAACTTGAGTTTGTGGCGTTTGTTGAACTTGAGTTTGTGTGTTTGTTGAACTTGAGGTTGTGGCAAATGTTAAACTTGAGATTTGGATGTTGGTTGAACTTGAGTGAGTGTGTCATGTTTGAACCTGAGTTTGTTGTGTTTTTGAACTTGAGTTTGTGTCGTGTTTGAACTTGAGTTTGTGGTGTTTTTGAACTTGAGTTTGTGGTGTTTTTGAACTTGAGTTTGTGTGTTTTTTTGAACATGAGTTTGTTGAACTTGAGTTTGTGGCAATTGTAGAACTTGCGTCTGTGGTTTTTAGTGATTTTTAATTTGTGGCAATTGTTGAACTTGAGTTTGTGTTGTTTTCGAACTTGAGTTTGTGGTGTTTTTGAACTTGAGTTTGTTTCGTGTTTGAACTTGAGTTTGTGGAATTTGTTGAACTTGAGTTTGTGTGTTTGTTGAACTTGAGGTTGTGGCAATTGTTAAACTTGAGATTTGGGTGTTGGTTGAACTTGAGATTTGGGTGTTGGTTGAACTTGAGTTTGTTGTGTTTTTGAACTTGAGTTTGTGTGTTTTTTGAACTTAAGTCTGTTGAACTTGAGTTTGTGGCAATTGTTGAACTTGCGTCCGTGGTTTTTAGTGAACTTTAATTTGTGGCAATTGTTGAACTTGAGTTTGTGGCGTTTTTTGAACTTGAGTTTGTGGTGTTTGAACTTGAGTTTGTGGTGTTTTTGAACTTGAGTTTGTGGTGTTTTTGAACTTGAGTTTGTGTGTTTTTTTAACTTTAGTTTGTTGAACTTGAGTTTGTGGCAATTGCTGAACTTGCGTCTTTGGTTTTTAGTGAACTTAAATTTGTGGCAATTGTTGAACTTGGGTTTGTGGCGTTTGTTGAACTTGAGTTTGTGTCGTGTTTGAACTTGAGTTTGTGTTGTTTTCGAACTTGAGTTTGTGATGTTTTTTAACTTGAGTTTGTTTCGTGTTTGAACTTGAGTTTGTGGCGTTTGTTGAACTTGAGTTTGTGTGTTTGTTGAACTTGAGGTTGTGGCAATTGTTAAACTTGAGATTTGGGTGTTGGTTGATCTTTAGATTTGGGTGTTGGTTGAACTTGAGTTTGTGTGTTTTTTGAACTTGAGTTTGTGTCGTGTTTGAACTTGAGTTTGTGGTGTCTTTGAACTTGAGTTTGTGTGTTGGTTTAACTTGAGTTTGTGTCGTGTTTGAACTTGAGTTTGTTGTGTTTTTGAACTTGAGTTTGTGTGTTTTTTGAACTTAACTTTGTTGAACTTGAGTTTGTGGCAATTGTTGAACTTGAGTTTGTGGCGTTTGTTGAACTTGAGTTTGTGTCGTGTTTGAACTTGATTTTGTGGTGTTTTTGAACTTGAGTTTGTGGTGTTTTTGAACTTGAGTTTGTGTGTTTTTTTAACTTAAGTTTGTTGAACTTGAGTTTGTGGCAATTGTTGAACTTGCGTTTGTGGTTTTTAGTGATTTTTAATTTGTGGCAATTGTTGAACTTGAGTTTGTGTTGTTTTCGAACTTGAGTTTGTGGTGTTTTTGAACTTGAGTTTGTTTCGTTTTTGAACTTGAGTTTGTGGCGTTTGTTGAACTTGAGTTTGTGTGTTTGTTGAACTTGAGGTTGTGGCAATTGTTAAACTTGAGATTTGGGTGTTGGTTGAACTTGAGTTTGTTGTGTTTTTGAACTTGAGTTTGTGTGTTTTTTGAACTTAAGTTTGTTGAACTTGAGTTTGTGGCAATTGTTGAACTTGCGTCTGTGGTTTTTAGTGAACTTTAATTTGTGGCAATTGTTGAACTTGAGTTTGTGGCATTTTTTGAACTTGAGTTTGTGTTGTGTTTGAACTTGAGTTTGTGGTGTTTTTGAACTTGAGGGTGTGGAATTTGTTAAACTTAAGAATTGGGTATTGGTTGAACTTGAGTTTGTGTGTTTTTTGCAGTACCTTAACGCACGGAGGGGAGGCCCGACGGTCAACCATGGTGGACCCAGTCGGCAGGTTTCGTCACAGCCCAGACCAGCGGCCAGAGCCAGCCAGCATCCAGCAGGAGAACCTCGGTCTGCACCTCGCCAGCGCAGCCCTGGTAAGGAGCTAGGCCTGGACGATATAGAAAAAAAGCATATCGATAAAAAATAAATCATATTGATCGATATCGATAATTATCGATATAATTATTATAATTATTTAACATATATTTTAATTGCAGCCCTGGATGTTTTATGCTATTGCTTAATGACCTACTTTTAATAAAGAACACACAAGCACTGAATTCAAATTCAAACCTTTATTCAACCACCTTTTTTATTTTACCACAACTGAAAGTTTTTAAAAAAAAAAAAAAAAAAGAAAGAAATCAACTTAAGTGGCCTGAGTGACGTCAGTAAATACTGACAAACATAAAGACTAGACTAGACTAGTGACCAGAAAATCTGATAAATAAATATTTAAATAGTCTTTTGATGAAAATAAACAAAACAAACAAATATATAAATAAACAGAATAGCTTTAGGTGGGAATAGCATACTACCAGTTTTAACTGTGTGGGAAACTGCCCACAGCCTGGTGTCTGAACACTGAAATATTTCTCCCGGGGTCGGGAGATTTATTTTTTTTAATTATCATGTGATTGACTTAATACACAAACTAAGCACGAGAAGCAGGACTTATCCACGCCGGTGTTGTGTCGTAGAATGCACCCCTGCCGAATGCACCCCCTGCTAGTAGCCATGATCCAAATACTCGCGTCTTTGTAAAATATGAGCTCATTTTCTTCCACTTTGAGAAGCTAATGAGTGGACGGGATTCAGGGGTGCATTCTACGGCACAACACCGGAACGTATTTCCTCCACACCCTTCTCACCTTTTCAACCCCTGACCCATTTTCATGCCTGAAGCGCTGTGTTTGAGAAATACTTGCGGCCGGGCACTTTATATCGCGGGTCGAGAGTGGCTAGAAGCTGGTCGAAGCCAGGCTTTTCAACGGTAGTTATTGGCAGTATGTCCCTCGCTATGAAGCATGTTACTGCATGGGTGATGTCCTTATGCCGCTCGGACGCTTTGTCGTATTTTGACAAGAAACGAAGTCCAGTTTGATCTGCTTCACATGCTTTGTGCTGGGGCTGGCAGCGGTTCCAGAGGATTCTTTGAAAAGATGCTGCAGAAATTTGTGTCTGACACCGGGCGAGACTGGGACCAGTGGTTACCCTTCCTGCTTTTTGCCTACCGAGAGGTTCCCCAAGCATCCACGGGGTTCTCCCCGTTTGAGCTACTGTATGGCTGGGAGGTACAGGGGCCATTGGATCTGCTGCTTAAGACGTGGGAGGCTCCTGCAACAGGCACCAGTGACCGCAGTGTGGTCCACTTCGTGTTGGAGATGAGGGACCGGCTGGCAAAGTACCGGGAGGAGGCCGACGTCAACCTGCGCAACGCCCAGCAGGCCCAGAAGGCATGGTACCACCAACATGCCAGACGCAGAGAGTTCCAGCCCGGCCAGAAGGTCCTACTCCTCCTCCCATCCTCCAACAGCAAGCTGCTTGCCAAGTGGCAGGGCCCGTAAACCGTCCTCCGGAAGATGGGCCCTGTGACCTATGAGATCCACCACCCGGACAAGAAAAGGGCAAAGCAGGTCTACCACATCAACCTGCTGAAGGAGTGGAAGGAGGATCCGGCTCAGGGCCCTGTGGCGGCCCTATTGGTGATGGAGGGGGACAGCGAAGGGGAGGAGGAGTGTATCCTCGCCGACCTCCACCAGTATGCTGAACCTGCTCTGGGCCATCTCTCTGCTGTCCAGTCCAGCCAGCTGTGCCAGGTGTTCGAGAGGGTCTCCAAGCACTTCGCTGCAAACCCGGGGAGGACCGGCCTCATCAAGCACGTGGTCCGCCTGAAAGACAAGGGGCCAGTTCGCCAGAGGAGCTACCGGGTGCCACAACATCTGGTGGCCAAGCTCCTGGAGGAGGTGGAGGAGATGCAGCGCTTGGGGGTGATCGAACCGTCGCAGTCCGAGTGGTGCAGTCCAGTGGTCATTGTGGTGAAGAAGGACGGTTCCCTCCGCATCTGCATCGACTTCAGGAAGCTCAACGCGATGTCGGAGTTTGACGCCTACCCAATGCCACGGATCGACAAGCTGCTGGAGAGGATTGGCCGGGCCAGGTTCATCACCACCCTGGACCTCTGTAAGGGCTACTGGCAGGTACCCCTGGAAGCGTCCAGTCGTCCCTACACAGCGTTCCAGACACCTTCCGGCCTCTTCCAGTTCACGGTGATGCCCTCTGGCCTACATGGGGCACCCGCCAAGTTCCAGAGACTGATGGACCAGGTTCTACGGGGGTGTGAGGACTGCAGTGCTGCCTACCTGGATGATGTGGTCATCTTCAGTGACACCTGGGAGCAGCACCTGCATCATCTGGAGCGAGTCCTGGGCCAGATCCAGCAGGCAGGCCTGACACTGAATCCAGCCAAATGCCAGTGGGCCAAGGAGGAGACAGAGTACCTGGGGTACCGGCTGGGACAAGGGGAGGTCCGGCTGCAGGTGGACAAGGTGGAGGCCATCCGCAGCTGCCCACGCCCTCGAACCAAGAAGGAGGTGAGGTCTTTCTTGGGTTTGGCCGGCTGGTACAGAAGGTTCGTCCCACAGTTTGCCACCATCGCAGCGCCTCTGACAGCAAAGGACCAGAGAAACCCTGTCATCTGGAACGAGGACTGCGAGACGGCCTTCCATGCTCTCAAAGCCTGCTTGTGCTCTTCGCCAGTTTTGAGAAGCCCTGACTTCAGACAGCGGTTCCTG